TCTTTAGTCAAAAACTATAGAGCATGTTATGTTATTGACCATATTCCCAAATCCCATCAAAAGAAAATCCAAGGAATAATGACAACAATGATTCTCGCCGATGTTACTAATGATTGTGTCTAAACCTTTTTTAAGGTCCACAAAAACATCGATAATCATTAGTAGTAGTTACTGTAAGGGTAGTTACCGCAAGTTACATCAATTGCGAATATTTATAATTATTTAATTTCGAGTGGGTTCCAGTAAAATATAATCACCTCCTCCCACTGAGAGATTTATTTTAGTCTTGGATATTCCCGCAACAACAATCGATCGAATGTTCCGACTGAATAGCGAAAGAATAAGAAAATAAGACAGGGAAGCGGGGGTGATTTTTCGCTGCAATTCAGCTTGTAGTTGGAGGAAGAATGTGACATGAAGATGACACACAAATTATTGATTCCTTGTACGGCGTGGGGGAATTCTCGTATTGATATTGGGTTTGGACAGTTCGGGGGAATGTCTTTGTCGTTCTCGTGCAGCCCGTGATAGTTTAGCTTATGCATACGATGACTGGTGCTTTTTTCCTACCTTTCCAAATGATTATTTATTTTAAATTTATATTACAATTCACATAATTTTAGTATAGTTTCAGTTTAAAGGTTAAGCGAGATAATATTTTGGAGGTCTTGGTGATTGAATCAACGCCAAGCGTGATTTGATATGAGTTTTGGAAACAGGATGATGCTTTTGTTTTTGAAAACAAATTCTGCGAATTGATTGCTTGGTCTATATATATCCCTAACGTTAACTAAAAATGGTGAATTGATTACGCACATTGGAACTGAGATTCCTTCATCTTTGATTGGACGGATGAAGCTTATACTTGCTCCAACAACTATGTTGAAAATTCTGTTTGTTGCCTAATACAACTTTTCTGCTTGAAGACTTCGCATCACAAACTATGTTATAAGATGGCACATTATACCATTCAAATTAGTTAAACTTAATATCATCACACATAGCTCGACTGAAATTCACAAATAGGTAAAAAGTAGAATTGGAAAACAGAAAGAAGGATCGAGGCTGGCGTTGTAGAATTGATAGACTAGTTTTGATGTAGATTGTTTGGTGGATGTTACCTCCCGAAATTCAAGAGAGTTTCAATGCTTTCTTATACCAATGGTTGAAGTTAAAACATCGATTGAAACACGACCTTGTTAGTGTTCCTTACCATCAAAATATTTTAATTGCTTGTAACTAGGATTCAGTTTCTTTCATTATAACAAAATAAAAGTATAAATTTTGGTCTTGCAATTTATGATTTATTAAATTAATAAATTTCTTAGACAATGACTTTATTATAACTGAAATTCGCATATTATACTCACTTGACGATACCCAAGTAGCCGAACCGAAGTGTTAATCTTTCTTGAACCAACATTTAAATTTGAAATCATCATGTTTTAGTTTGAAATGGCAAGGTTGAACCGTTGACAATTGTTAATGCAAAATATTTAGTAGCAGTAGTATTATTATTATTTATTCAACGGATCTACGTATATGAATAAGCACACGTACGTCACCACGAAGAAATTGGAAAATGATAGGTACGAGATACCAAATCCCTAATTGAGTTTAGTTGCATGAATGGTTGTTTTGATGTAGCTAGACTCCATCACGTAATTTTTATGATGAGATATCAACCAATCCCTACAAGGATCCCAGAGGCCACTCCAAGGTGATTATTATACCGATTTTGAGTTTTGGAGTTATTCGTAATATATTTTTTCTATCTCATAAAAATAGCTCAATTATTTGTTATGAGGAGTAAGTTTGGAATATATCCACTAATTAAAAAGACACAGCCAATAAACTTGAGTGGAAATGACACATAATTTTTTTAGTTATTTATTTACTTTTTATTTTTATTTTTTTTTGAAAAAAGACTGCATATACTCGTATGATATATATGTCCTTTTTCTGTACATTATTGAATTTTAACTCCCTCGATAAAGTAGCAGTTGGTAGTTACTACTTACTACAGCAGCAGGAGTAGGTTGTAACAACTGATCCGATAAAAATGATTACGTTGGATTCCATTCGTTTTGTATAAACTCCTAAAACAAGCAATAAAAGTCTTACTATTTTAAAGGATTCGAATTTTGAAAAGAGAATTAAGTCAAAAGGGGGTTGGAAAATAATGAAACATAAATGGTTAAAAACCCAGAAATGATTGTGTAACATAAATGTTACCACCAGATATAGTGAATGAAAGTATGAACTATGAAACATAAATGTTTTATTAAATAAAAAAAAATGGTTGATGGCATGTGGAGCTGTATTAGCTGTAAAGCAACTACTGCCATTTTGTTTGTAATGATTTACTGTCAGCGGTAAATCGGAGTCGATTTTACCGCGGTTGTCCTCATTACTTTCTCCAACCACTTCCCATTTTGTCGCCTGAAATTAGGATTTCAATTTCATTTTTTTCTTTTTCGGATATTAATTCTCTTCACGCCGTACAAATGAGATATAATTTCAAAAAATTGTTGTCTCAAAAAGAATTTCATTTGTTTTAGTTAAAAGCAATTCTAGGTTAAAAGAAAATAAATATATGTACATATAATTTCTTCAAAAAATATAGGCATACGAAATGTACAAGTTTACAGTATTTTAAGAGTAATAGAAAAAAGAAATGACAAAAGAGAAACAATATATGCGATAAATTAATTAGTAATTGTTATACAAATTTGTATAACATTGACAATAAGATAAAAACTACTTGGGCTCTATTTGGTTGCATTGAATTGGGACCAATAATTAGAATTGGAGATTTCTAATTCCAATTATTGTATTTGGTTGCTAAAAATAGAGGTCCAATAATTAGAATTATAATTCAAGATAGGGCTCAATTCTTTATTTTCAATTATTTTGTAGGAGTAGATAATTAGAATCCAAATTCAAGGGACTTAAAAAAGGGACGCGGGTCACAACCGGGTCGTTTTCGAGTTATAACCTAAACGGGTCGCCTTCTCAATTTTTGCCTTCTGCCTTTTTAAATTTTTTTTTTTATTTTTAATTTTTTTTTTCGGGTCTTTCATCGCTTTGCCGCTTCCTTCTTTTCTTTAGTTCTTTTTTGTCTCTTTCTCCCATTATTATTATTATTATTATTATTATTATTTCATATATATCAATTAATAATTATCAACAAAATCAAACTAAAATTAACATTGTATTTTTTTACAAAAAAATCAAAAGTATAGCTGTACCCAAAAAAATTTATTAACTAAATATTTTAGTTTTGGGTTAAAATTTTTATTATATTATGACATAGTAAACAACATTACATTTTCAAATTTTTTTATAGAAATTTGTTCCATATATACACCTATAGTATAATATATATATACATATATATATTTTAAACTATTCATGGTATCTTTTCTCCAAAAATTATGTAAGTTGAGTTTTAAGTATGTATTATTTCATATATAATTATATACTAAAAATAAAAAAATTTAAGCATATATTATATACTAATGTTAATCTATGTATAAATAAACCTTAATATTCATAAACTAAATTTACAATGTTATATAATAAAGTTTTAAAATTTTTTCATATAAATCAAAACAACAAAAATTAAAAATTTAGAAAAATAATAAAAGAGATGAAACCAAGGATGTTTCACATTTTACTTATTTTTGTATTAAACGAGAATTTTAAGTCACAATATTTCTTTTGTTTCTAACAAAAATGTGTACATAATAAATTACAAAACTGATATAGCAAATTAATTAAAAACAATAATTTGTTTTAACAAAAAAAGTAAAAATTGTATTAGTTAAAAAACCACAAAGTAGTCAAATATACATGTACACAATGAATTTATTTATTTTTTTGTGTTATACATATCCATAATAAATTAAGGTTTTTTTTTTAATTTTAGTTTTTGACAAGAAGTATAAATTGTACTATTATTAGTTATACAATAACAAACTAATTTTAATTCTAAAGTATCCAATTTTTTATGCATCCAAACTCGAGAATTGGAATTAAAGCCTTAATTTTAGTAAATTTTCAAGATCTCCCAAACAAAGAAACTGAAATTGAATTACAATATTAATATCTCATTTTCAATTCAATAGTATTGTAATTCCAATACAATTGCAATTCAATCTAACCTAACGGAGCCTCATAATATTTCCAAAATAACGATGCTCGCAGTATTTTTGTCTAACGCCTTAATTATTACAATGTGGCGTTAGATTGGTTCAATTCCTTACATATAACAAATGAAAAACCAAAAGTAGCTCTCAAAAATAGAAACAAACAAAATGAACTATTGAATTTCGGTCAAAATGTCTTTGAACGTTTTTTTTGTTTCTTGTAAATTTGCCAGAACTAGTATTATTCAACGTAACCAAAAACAGAAACAAATAAAGGACAACAATATATACGTTAAATTTGTGAATAACCGCGTCAAAATTTTATAACTAGTGCAACGCGTTATATTTTTCAAAAAATGAAAAAATTTTCATATATAACGTACCATCTTACTCAGAATAATTTCTATAATGTACCATCTTTTCAAAATAAAAAACGAAAGCCCCAAAAGGCAGAATTTTGATTTTTGAAATTGTGTGAGTGGGCATTGTCTCAAAATGACCCGGAAACCTTAATATAAAAGCAGACCCAAACCCCCCTCTACTTTTTTAGTACTACAACTCCTTAAAAACACAACATTCTTCCTTTTATTTTATTTTTCCCACTCTTTTCCTTTGGGTCCCACCATCCCCTCCATCACCTCCTCCATTTTCCATTTAACAGGAATAATCTAATCCACTCTCTTCCTCCCTCCCCCAACTCATTATTATATCTTGTACAAGCCGCAACAATTCACTCCAGCACTGCCTTCCATCATTACCATCACGCAATCCACACCCCCCTCCTCTTCGAGTATATTTTCCCATCCTCTGTTTTTATTGTTTTTTCCTTGCCTTTGTTGCTTGCTAAACATGGAGGAGAAGCACGATGAAGCAGAGTTCTGGTTGCCGTCCGAGTTCTTAACAGACGAGGATATACTCATGGACCACAAGAAGTCTATCTCACCTGGGCTTCGTTTTCCCGCACCTTTTCCCTTCGATTATGGGTCATCTGCACTGAGTTCTCCTGTTGAATCCCTTGTTGGCTCTACAGAAACTGAAAGTAGTGATGAGGAGGACTTCTTGCTTACTGGGTTAACTCGCCAGTTATCCCTGCGTGATGCCCCTAAATTTATCCCCACTCAACCAAATCAAGAGGTACAGGTCTAATCTATCTTTCTTTGCTTTTAATTTTTTTTGTTTTTCGTGTAAAGTCCCTGAGAAATTTTAACCGTGATGCTGCTATTGTTACAGAAGGCAAACATGTTGTCTGGTTCGCCACAGTCGACCCTGACCAAGGTTGGGAGTTGGTCGGGTCGGAGCTCCGGTTCCAGTAACGGAAGCCCGAATGGTCCCTCTCAGGTGTCATCCCCTCCAACGACTCCGCTGGCAGCTGAGAACGACCCTTGGGATCTGATATACCAAGCTGCAGGTCAAATTGCAAGGCTTAAGATGAGCAGCGGAGATAATCATCCCTCAAGAAATCCGGGCATTTTGGGTCCACCCAAGCGTCTCCCCACTCCCCCGCCGCTGCAAAACAAATCTGCCTCATGCTTCTACGAACCCCAGGTGAGTTACTTTTTAAACAGGCCCCCTGTATTTTTTCAATTAATTGTGATTCAAGGAAAAATAAATGTTCAATATCTTAAACCGTGTTTTTGACAGGTGACGAGGCAGGACGCATGTGGGATGTGGAGCAGGGAAGTTAATAACGGGTGGAGAGTTGATTCTCAAGAGATTTTGCAAAACATTAGTGGAAGAATTGGAGTGGGCATCGGAGGAAATGGTATGGGGCCATCTCCATGTGTTTGGTCGAGTCAGCAAAGAAATCCTCAGTTTGGAGATTTCGGTGTTAAGGGAAGAACGTATGTCGGAGCTGGATATGGGTATGGGTTTGGATACGGATCTTCCGGTGGGGTCGGCGGTGTTAGTGGTGGTTTGAAAAGGGAACGTTCTGGGACCGGCGTCTTTTTACCTCGAAGATATGAGAATAATAACTATAATAGCAAGGCATCAGAATATCGGAAGAGGCCAGGTAAATTACAGCTCCTCCCTTTCCCTCTTTGTTAATTTTTTTGTTTTTGGGGTTTCCATGATACTAGTTTAATTGAATCTTTATGAATAAAATTGGTCTAGTTTGCCTAATAAAGTTGTCTTCGTCGGGGACTGCTTAAGCCTAAATATCAGGGGTCATAATATTGAAGTCATTTCTACATCATGTGTTTTCTTTTCTCCGCGCTTCAATGTAAAGTAATCTGGCAAATGCATTGGCCCGTACGCACGTTAAAATGTTGAAGGTGGGGTAAACATATTTACAGTGAATCCTGAAAAGTTTTAATGTGAAATCTGGTGGGGTTCGAGTTGCCCCTGTTTCACCATAAGATGCAGAGTGACACTGACTCTTGATTGAGTTGGATCCAGCAAATTGGGGAAGTTTGCTTTGCTCCTCTGTTACGCCTTGGATCCACATTTAGTACCCTTTTTTTCTAATTCAGATCTTAATCACCGCCTTAAGTGGATTAGGCCAAAAGTCTAGTGTTAGAAAATTATTTCCTTAGTGATCTTGTTATTCATTAGTAGTGGTTGTCTTTTTGACTTGGAGATGTTACTTTTTATAGCATTCACATGTTTTCACTTTAGCTGATTTGCTTTTGTACCTTATATTCAATTTTTATTGTAGGTTCTCCGGCGATGTTTCCCCACAAGCCTGTGCAAACCTTCAACGGAAATGTGCAATCAAGATCATGTATCAATAGCAGCAATATTTCCCCAGGAGATTATGGTGAGTTACATTTCTCAAATATACTTTGTTCTGTTTTCAGTGAATTGGTTCTAAGGTCTTCCAGTTCTCAATTTGGGTCAAATTGCAATTTTACAGAAGCTGCCTTGGCCAGAAAAAACGCGTTGTTAGCTCAACAGAGGCGAAATTTATGTCCGGAAACAACTTCAACTAGCCAAGAAATATGTCTTCCTCCGGAGTGGACTTACTGAATGGAAGACGGGGTTTTTTTTAGTGTCCCAAAGTTGAAGCAAAAACAACAGTCGAAACAATTAGAATTGGTAGAATGGTTAGTGGTTAGTGGTGCTTTCAATCCTTTGAAGTAAAAGGGTTAGGGTAATAGGGATTGTTTTTTATTATTTATTAAAAAAAAAGTCGTTACATTTCAATATTTATTAGTTTGGGAAAAATAAGGAAGAATGCAGGTTTGCTTAGGTGGAGATATACAGTCAGAAAATGAGGAGGGTGCTCATTTTTTGTTTGCAATAAGAAAGATTAGAGGTAAAATAAATTTAATTATTACAGCGGGTAGTACCAAAAATAGGGAGGGTGGGGATTGGGGAGAAGTGTTTTTGTCTCTCTTGTAACCTTTTGTGGAAGTGTGGTGTTGTAGTAAAAAGTAGAAGGTTGAGTGCTAATCGCAGCCCCTCTACATATAATGTAATACTAGTAATAGTATTAAATAATGGAATGCAAGTGATTTTAATTTTTATATTGTTTATTTTTGATGAATTTATTGCTTGACGAACGGTACGCGTTTTAGAAGTTCCAAACTGACAGAAACATGAGCTGGTAAACTACTTGTTGCTTAGGGGTGTGGTGTTGTTAAATGTTAACTATCGAGTGAATAGGAAAGGAAAAAAAATCAAAAGTAAAGTAGACCTGCTCAAAGTTCTAGTTTGCATGAGGTGGGGTCTTCAAGGATTTTCCATTTGTTTCAAAACAAATTATGGAGGACTGTGTGTGTGTGTGTGTGTGGACTTTTGGTCTTGGAAGCGGGTAACTTCGGCGTGAAGCAGAGGAGGGATTTGTGGTGGTGCTGGCCGAAAAAAAGTGAAAACGACATACTACTTGGGGGAAGGTAATGGCCCCCACAGGGTATTAAATTTGTGGGACCCGGCACGAGTGTCGTATCGGGGGTCTAATGTGTAATGGGGATTTTATTTTTTTTTTGTCTTTTGAAAACGGTATTGGAGGAACTTGGGGGTTTTAATTTTCCCGGTTCTTTTTCAGATTTCAAAGTGAAGAAAGAGGGAAACGGGAGTGGGGAACATTTTCGGTTATTGTGTGATTTAGGTGGTGCTTGTGCTTTCACTGCTGGACTCTTTGACTTTTGGTCAACCTTTGCTTTTCTCGATTCTTGTTCATCTTCCCCCAGCTGTTCACCATTTTTTATTTTTTATTTTTATTTTTGGATTTGCACCCATACACCTCAATGTAATCTCATGCATTTTTTACCTCATGAATTTGGTAAATTTGCCCAGAAGGCTCCAGTAAATGTAGTTTTATGGTCAAGTAAGAATTACTACGAGCTGTACAAAAATTCCTAAGTTCATTTTTCATATCGGTTTGTGAAAGGAAAATGTAAATTATACAATTTGGAAAACATTTTATTTGACCGTAAGTATAAGACACAATTCTTAATTAATTTTAGTGATAGTTTATGATTTATAATTAAGCTCAGAGGAGTAGTAAATGAGGGTTAAGGTACAGCATTAGGATGAATTTGAACATAATTCCATTTGAAAGCATTCCGTCGGAATGCCTTTTAAGCCAGGAAGAATTTTCTTAAAAACTTGTTTTAGAGATCCGATGTAGTAATGTGTTGTCAGAAGTAGTTCCTTGGTGGTGGTGTGTGTTTTTGTCTGGGGGTCTATGTAAATTTCATAGTTATTCGCATTCTTTGAACAGTCAGTTTCTATTACCGTAATCCAATAAACAACAAATAATAAACAATTACAGCTACAAACAGTAGGGTGGTTACACTAAACACTCTTCTACTCTCCATTATTTAATTATTATTATTACTATTACCTAGGAAGAGTTAATCTTTGTTGTCCAACCAACCTTAAGTCAGTCGGGGCCCCGTTGGTCGGTCCTTTATTAGGCATAATCATACCTTCATAATACGACGCCATTAGCATTGGTTTCATCTGTTTCAAATTAACCCCTTTCTTGATTTCATACTATCAAATTTCAAATTTTGAATTTTGAAGCTTAGGCATCGGTTTTTTGCCCTTTTTTGTTCTTCTTCCTGTACGTAGTTCCTAACTTATTTAGGGCTCAAAGTATAGTTGGAGATGTTGCCAATTGGATAACGTTACGTGATGAACTGATTTTTAACGTATGCACCATACGTTGATAGTTTTAAAATTATTTGTTTCTAAAAGTTTTAATAATAATTTTTTTTTTTTGAAGATGATAATAAAATTTTTAAAAAGCTGAATAGTTCAAAATTTTTGGAGTATTTTTTAGACTTTTTTTTTTTTCCTTTTTCTTTTCTGTGACTTGACATAAACGCTAAAATGATAGCGCAGATGTTGCCAACACGTATGCGAATCTATCAAAACTAAATCGATATTCGAATTAATTAAGGGAATCTTGGCATTTGTCTATTAATAATCGTTAAAAAACTGTCTTAATTTTTAAAACACTGATTGCCTCTACGCAATGTACGTATTATCAAGGACTAATATATTATGCAGGATTAGTTAGTTCCCTGACTTAGTACGTTGAATTTGTGAACTAAACTCAGCTGTTTAATTTATTTATTTATTTTTTTTTCAGTTTTTGTGGTCAAACCCAAATGGGACAATCCAATCCACTAATTCTACAACATCTTAAACCCTTAACTTCACATCTCAAATTTGGACAACTTGTGTGCATGTGTTGCAAGCATCATCTTACGACTTTTGTGTTGTCTTTGGTAGAACTTAATTCAATTAATCACGTCGAAATGGTTGATTAGTTCTTAACCTATACGGTTTATCGCCATTAGGCAACAGATTTGTTTCATCTAATTTTTTTTTTTATAAGCCTAATACTCACTCTACTTTGTCGAATTAGCCGGTTCGGTTGGGGAATAAAAAATTTCAAACAATTTTGGAAAGCACTAATCAAGGGAAGGGGATCCATGTTGGAATTGATGATTTGGCTTGATACTTGATAGTTGTTGGTTGAGTGATAGTATGAATTATGAAGGGAGCGTGCATGGAAATAATCATGCAATTACCCCGCAACAAATAAGGATAATGGAGATAATAATGAACGATGATGGATCCAAGGGACACCTGTTCTAACTACACGTAATATTACTAGACAGAATATAATTCAATTGGAAAGACTTACTGCTCCTCAATAATTGCTGTCTAGTGGTACAGATATCCTCTAACGATGATGTGATTAATTGGTAGTACTACTACTATATTTGAATTTGAAAGAAATAAGTATAAGGTTTGACTTACTATAATTCAGAATTAAAAAAAAAAAAGTCTGACCAACAAATGCTTTAAACCAATGGTTGACTCTATATTTAAAGTTAAGCGCCAATAACGCCATGGTGATTTAAATAAAAGAAAAAATCATGCTCAATGAATACAAATAAATCTAACTGTTGATTGTGGATTGATTTATATCGTAACTATTAAGGAAGATACGAAACCTCTTTTTTTTTAAAAAGAAAAAGAAAAGAAATGGAGATAGTGGATACTGATTGTGTCTTATATAGCATCCAATTTGTGAGAGAAACCTACTGGAACCTCTCTCTTCGGATCCAATCTATCCATGTTTGGAAAAATATAAAAATAACATGATTGATGAATTGAGGGATACGTTTGCGGAAAAGGTTGCGTCTCCGTGATTGCCCAGAAGTTCTTTAGAAGGGAAAAATAAAAACTGCGATATTTTTGCCGTGTCTGATTACGACATGTAATGGAGTAAATGATCAACAATAATTTATGTGCTCAAGAGGGTTTCCCTGCGCCTGAAATTTGGGAGGAAAAGAAAACCCATAATACGATGAAATGAATGTTTAAACTGATATTCCAACCTCCAAACTCAATTAATCTCTTTCTATGTTCAAAAAAAAAAAAAAAATGCTAGAAAAATATTCCCTGTCGCTGTAAATTTTCAAGCTTCCAGGGATGTGTTTTTCCCTTTAAACATACAGTTCAACTTAATTTTTTTACCTTTCTAAATTTTGTTTTCCATAACTAGAAAGAATCCTAAAGGATACAGAGCAACCCAGGAGTTGGTCACTTGGTTGTGTAAAAGGCCAATTTCCCCATCAGTTTTTCGCCGAGGATGCTCCATTTAGACAGTTACACTTTGAGAGGCTTAAATCCACCTAATTTTAAGTAATGGTTAGAGGACAGCCTAACATGTACTGATGGGCTCTTTTTTACTCCTTCTATTCCGAAAAAATCAGTTCATATTGAATTTTGGAATCTATATTATTTCTATTATAAATTTAGAACTCAATGTGGACATATTTTTTTTTTTTTTAAAGACACAGGTAATATTGTGTTTGAAGAGCGTTAAAGAAAAGAAAAACAAGTTGGACACATTGGTCCTGAAATGTGCATTACTGCTCTAACTCTGATTAACTCAAAACTGAAATGACATTTTAGCTTGTATTCTGGAAAATGAGTTGTCATCCGGCTCATTTGGGTTTGGATTCTGGGCCTCAGGCCTCAGCCCATGTATCATCCTTAAAGTCTACCAAAACAAAAAGTTTCACTCCGTTGGCTACTTGGGGTTCAAATTCAATCTGTTTCACCATTCACCGAATTCCGGCCGGCTGATCGAATGAAAAGAGATTAGCAAGAAAGTCTTTTTCCGGTTCTTCTTTCATCTTGACTTCATTGAGGAGTTTGTTTTTCTTTTTTTTTTTTGTTTAATGAGCAAAAGTAGGTCTCTGCCTCGCATTAGGAGTCCCAAAAACCTGTACAGTTAGTTATCTTGGGGATCAACAAACCAATCTACTGCCACAACTTTGGTGCTACTTCAGTGCCGAGTTTGCCCAAATGCTTGTATGGCTTTCTAAAGACATATAAAAGCCTAAAACGAATTAAGAACAAGTTGAAGCACGTTAATTAAAGAAGCAGTTGATTTTGAGGAATAAGCAATAACATGCTATTTCTTGTCCAAATAGTGGTTTGAAAGTTTCCTTAGCCCTCGCAAGTCGCAATGCTCCTTATACTACGGAGTACTACAAAGTAACAAAAGATAAGAAGAAATAAATGTAAGCAGGCTGCATTAAATGACTGATTGAGTCAAGTGCAACTCATTGTTCCAATGCTTCATGTATTTATTCAACTTATCAGCTTCAGTATAATTGGAAGAGAAAAAAAAAAAAAAATCCTTTAATTTGCAAAGCCTATATTCTCATGGAGAATTTCTGAAAGGCTAATTAAGTCCCATGCTTCAGGCGTTTGCTACTGTTTCCATTGCCACTGTATGGGCACATAAGTCCCATGCTTCAGCTCGCGCAGATTCTTCACTCAAAAGGGTTCTCCATAACCATGTTCCGAACCAAATTAAATCCCCTCAACCCTGATGACTTCCCGAATTTAACCTTCCACACTCTTTCTGAAGATGGTCCATCAGATCATGATCATGCAGCTGCTGAATCTTCTCATCAGCCAATCCCTTAACGTTATCTCAGATCTTAATTCCAAGTACGTGGAATCTCTCGAGCGTGCTTTGTCCGAGTTCTTATTAGATGATGATGATGATCTCGATCTTCATCACACAAGAAGAGGTTCACAAGGCTCAGTTGCTTGTTTGATATCTGATGCATTCTTATACTTCACAAGGGCAGTTGCGGAAAGGTTTAATCTGCCTCGGTTTGTCCTGCGAACCGGCGGGTTCTCTTCCTTTCGGGTTTTTGCTGCCTTCACTCATCTACATCAAAAAGGTTATCTCCCTGTTCAAGGTTCGGCAACTTAGTTACAACTGATTTATTTTTGTTTACGATTTGTAATGAACGTCTCCATGGACTTTTCTAAATTTTCACCAACGTTCTCAGCCACTTTAAGAGGTGCATTGCTTAAGAATGGATTTTCCATAATTAAGCTGGAGGGGTTGCATGATCAATTCTGTGACGTTTTTCCGTCAAATAAAAATAAAAATGCTGTGACGTTTAGTGACTACTTGTTAGATTGAGTAGCTTCTGTGAATAAACTCCGTTTGTTTTCAATATGTCATTCTCATTTCTCATTCATATACTGCGTACTGAGACAACTATGACTGAAGCATTTGTGGATACCGTCGGATTGGGGGAGGGGGGAAGAAGTGAAGGACCATTGTGATCTTATGTGCTTTTATTTATGAGACAATAGACACTTAGCTACCCAATTTATGTAATTTGTCGGCAACTTATCTCCTCTGTCAGGGTGTAAATCCTATAATTAGTACTCCATCCTCCTCAAAAACTAGTTGTAAATTGTAATGAAAAACAATACAATTCGCAACGTGAATTATAGAAAAAAAGTACCCTAAAACCGCTTTCTTTAGTTTTTTTTTTTTTTTGGCCCCCTCGATTTTACCTTCTACATATGATTGAATATATGATTGATGCAGTTGCTAATCAATCAATTAGTTAATTACCATAACTTATTTTCTTGATCATCAATTTTATGTTATGTGTTTTCTTTTAATTAAGCTTCGAGACTGGAGGAGTCGATTGAAGAGCTGCCTCCACTTAGGATTAAAGATCTTCCGGCGGCCAGCTCCCCTGATCTGGAACTAATGGTTGAGCTAGTGAGCGATATGGTGGAAGAAACAAAAGCTTCTTCAGGGCTAATTTGGAACTCATTTGAAGAGCTGGAACAGCCCGCATTGGAAGAAATGCGCCAGCTTTTTTCTATACCAATATTCCCAATCGGACCCTTTCACAAATACTCCTCCCTAGCCTCTTCAACCTGCTTGATCTCAAAGGACAGAAACTGCATTCCCTGGTTAGACAAACAAGCTCCTAAGTCAGTGGTTTACGTCAGCTTCGGAAGCCTGGCATTACTGAAGGAAAAAGAACTCCTGGAAATAGCTTGGGGACTATCAAACTGCAAGCACCCGTTTCTCTTGGTGATCATGCCTGGTCTATTTGGATTGGGCTCAGAAGCGGCGGACCCATTGCCTAAAGGGATCATGGAGAAGTTAGATGGGCGTGGGCTTGTTGTCCAATGGGCACCACAAGACGAGGTGCTGGCCCACTGTTCAGTGGGAGCGTTTTTAACTCACAGTGGTTGGAACTCGACCTTAGAGAGTATAAGTGAAGGAGTTCCCATGATTTGTATGCCTCTTATTTCTGATCAATTTGCGAATGCAAAGTATGTAAGCGATGTTTGGCGAGTTGGATTGCGACTGGAGAGTTTGGATAGGGAAAATGTGGAGAAGGCTGTGAAGAAGATAATGGAGGAAAAAGAAGGTGAAGAGATTAGAGAGAGGATTTTAGAGCTCAAAGAGAAGGCAACTCTTTGCCTGAAGCCAGGTGGTTCTTCATATGAATCTTTCGAGAGCTTAGTCAACTACATTTTATCACCTTCATAAGCTCTTTTACCACGTGTACAATGCATAAATGAAAGCTTAGATCGTTCTCCCTTCATTCGAAATAAGTGTAATTCTACAATTTACATATAATGTAAATTACTATAAGATTCTTAACTAACTTCATTAAAACAAATTCTTACTAATAATATTATTTTTTTTGAGAGTAATTTTAGAAATATAAAACCAAAGTACTTTGAAATCTGAAAATCACTCCTAGTTTGGAATTTCTACATTTTGCTAAAATGATACTTATTTTGGAAAGTAGGAAATACTATTAGATTTGTGATTTTTTTTTGTTTATGGCTCTAATCAATGACAAATTTTTTTTTAAACTCCTTTTATTCTAAAAATATTTGTCTTGTTTGAGAACGGGGGAGTATATGGGTTTTTAATTTTTTTATTGAATCCAAGGATACTTTTCAAGTGGAGCCAATTCTTTGAATTAATTTCATGTCTGATTATCAATCAGTGCAATTTGTTAGATCAATGTAACCTTCAACTAAAAGTTGTGGGTTGCCATTATTTCCTCGAAAAAGCTCTACAATTCTTTCGTCTTCTCAGGCAAATACAAGGGCAGGGGACCATAAATTCTAAATGCGGCCCAGGAATTTCATTTGTTTGAGCAGGCGTCCAGCTTGACATTAAAGTGTGGAAAACGTCTGAAATGATTTTTCTTATTGGATGGACCGAGTCGTTAAATGCATCAAAGAGTTAGTTGGGGAATGGAAATATTCTTGGTCCATCAACTCAGCAAAAGTAAGATATTACTACCATCTGCAATGTCGTATACATGTACAACTTGGACCATTTACTAGTAAGTAGATTAATAGCACTGGGATTTTGGTTGGAGTTATAAATTTAAGAAGACAGGTCTAATTTAGAAGTCCCTTAGCTTTTTTTACAACTAATAAACAATGCAACAAAACAATATTAATCATTTTGGGACAGACGGAATAATATCTCTATCTTCTTTTGTTGTCATCAATTAATTTGCTTACATGAACATTCGGATGAAACAATGCATTGCCTGTCTTTGGGAGGAAATTTCAGTAATCTGGTTTGCTGTCACATTCTTTTAAAGTTTCTAGTAGTGAGTCGAGAGAGCATCTCATGTAGTACTACTTAATTAATTACTTCACGTCACGCTTCATTCTTACAATTCGTAGTTTGTCTTTGTTTGATCTTTTGTCAGTTTACGCATTTATAAAACTCCAACCCAAAATCTCCCAAGTAACATAACCAACCACTGAGCCACTTAGCAATTTCTCTTAGGACTTCTTTACCAGCTGCCTAGTGCAAGAATTCAAAGAAGCTTTTCATGGAGGCAGATCTTGTTGGAAAGGCTGAAGCCGAACTGGACTCGAAGAAATTAGGTAGGCGTTTGGTGTTCTTTCCTGTACCTTTACAGGGCCATATAAACCCCGTGATTCAGCTAGCCAATGTTTTTCATTCCAAAGGCTTTAGTATCACCATCATTCACACTGAATTCAACTCCCTGGACCAATCAAAATACCCTGATTTCACCTTCCACCTGATCCCGGATGGCCTGTTGGAGCATGAAGTTTCTACATCAGATGTCACGGTTCTGCTCGCAAAGCTCAACATCAATTGTGCGAATCCCTTACGCCAATGCTTGGACAGATTATTGCAAGATAAAGGGGAGCCTGTAGCATGTCTGATCACTGATACTATTTGGTATTTCACTCAGGAATTGGCAGACAGCTTCAATCTTCCTAGGATTGCATTCAGGACCACCAGCATTTGTTCGTTCTTAGCTTTCTATTCGCTCCCGATTTTCAGGAAACTAGGATACCTGCCAAAACAAGGTACTTTTCAAATCCTCAGTAACATTTGGTTCATTTTAGTTGTTGGAGTTGTTAACCTTCTCTTGGGTTTTTTTTTTTTTTTTTTGGGGTCTTCCAATAATTCCAGATTCTCAACTGGAAGTGGAAGTGCCTGAGTTTCCACCCCTCAGAGTGAAAGACATCCCGGCGATAAAGTCTCGAGATCCCGAAAATGTATTCAGTCTGATAAGCTGCATGATGGAAAAAACGAAGGCAGCATCAGGGCTGATCTTCAACTCTTTTGAAGAGCTTGAACAGCAAGAACTGACCAAAGTCGGTGAAGAATTCCGGATTCCAACATTTGCAATCGGCCCACTTCACAAGTACTTCCCGGCATCATCAAGCAGTTTGATGGAACAAGATCGGAGTGCAATTTGCTGGCTGGATAAACAAGCTCCAAAATCTGTTATCTACGTGAGCTTTGGAAGTATTGCAGAAATGGATGAGACCCAATTGTCAGAAGTGGCGTGGGGAATAGCCAATAGTTTACAGCCTTTCTTATGGGTGGTTAGGCCTGGATTGGTACAGAACTCGTCAGGTCTGGAGAACTTATTGCCAAATGGTTTCTTGGAGGCTGTGAATGGAAGGGGATATATTGTGAATTGGGCTCCACAACAGGAAGTATTAGCTCATCCGGCGGTTGGAGCTTTTTGGACACATTCGGGCTGGAATTCTACACTGGAAAGTATATGTGAAGGTGTTCCAATGATCTGTTCCCCTTTTTTTGGGGATCAACTGGTAAACTCTCGATTTGCGAATGATGTCTGGAAAATTGGCCTGCGTTTGGAAGAGGGCCTGAAGAAAGGGGAAATAGAAAGGGCAATCAAAAGACTAATGGATGAGAAAGAAAGTGAAGAAATAAGAATGAGGGTATCATCTTACAAAGAGAAGATCAATGCCTGTGTGAAAGAAGGTGGTTCTTCGCATCAGTCAGTACAGAGCTTCATTGATTACATCTTATCAATTTGATCTTGGGATTTTCCTTCATTATCTTAGCTTAAATTATTGTAAACAATCCCTGCCATATAATTTTTGAATAAATAAAAAAACTTGTGAGATCAACTTGATTTGTGACTGTCACTACGTATGATCACTTGCTGACTTGCAAGTCTGAAACCTTATCAATTACCCCGATTAAGCCAAATAAAAAAAATATGTAATGACGAACTAAGCTGAAAGAATACAACCAAATAATGACAAATGACGCATCTTTTCCACTATATTTCACAAACTTCAACGTTAAGAGAGAAAAAGACACCCAAAAAAATAAAAATGAAAATAATAATAATAATAATAATAATAATAATAATAATAATAATAATAATAATAATAATTACTCTTTTCGTCGCCAGAAACCACCACCACCACACCCACACCCCCCCGGAAAACATTCATTTTGGAACTGGGCATCTGCATTATGCTTGCAACAAAAGATGCAGAAGGAATAATTGCTTATCATTTCCAGAAAGTTTGCCGGGCTCAGGGTTTTTATTGACAGTTAATTTGTTAGAGTATTGCCTAGTACATGGCCTGTAATCTCATTACAACATTCCCTGTTATAAAAGAAGAAAATAGCAATAACAATTTGTCTTCTCCCCTGCTTCTTCTTTTTTATTTCTTTTGGTGCATATTTGTAATGTGTTTACCGTCGACAACACAAACTAATTTCTTGTTTCGTATTTAATCAATAAGATGAAGAAAGGGGAAAATGTGCCAACAATATTCATTCCTAAGATTAGCTAATGTCTTTATCAATCGCTTGTCTGAAGAGGCATGCATCTATTTTATTTTAAATAACTCATGTGCTGTGCTGAGTACTGCTCAATCGATCTGGAGTTCTTTTCTCTTTCAGAGCATGTCACCATTTTATATCCCCATCACATTTGTGACTTGTCCTGCCATCGTCTATACCTTGTCCTCCCCTCCGAAGGTATTTATTTATACAAGGCACAACTAATTAGTTTAAGTTTGTACTTTGAAAATGGAATCTGAAGAACTATTTAATAAATAACCTAACGCGGCGGTATTTGTATCACTCAGTGTCAACAAAGAAATCTGTTTGCACCTACTCAGTTTCTGCAGACTATTCGACCCATTCTGCAACAAAAGCAATCGATTAAGTATAATCCAATTACACGTCCTGGATTTGTACATGCACCATATTTAGAGTTTTTAAGCCACTATTTTTAGTAGGAGTACTTGGTTACATCAGCAAAAGCTTAGCTGAATATGAACTAAACCACTCATTACATGGTAGAAGAAACTTCCTGTTCTTAAAATTAGACAATGTCCTTGTCAATTTGCTTGTCAGGGTAGACATGCATTTACTGTGTTATTAACAGGTCAAGCTGAGCTGAGTACTAAGACATCAATTTGTATTTGCCTTCTTATGTATGATTGTTCTATCATCTTCCTTTCCTTATAATTACTACTAACCTAACGCAGCAGCATTTGTATCACTGAACTTTACAAGGCAATCGTTTTTGTGTTACTCACCTGTGCAGACTTCAAACCATTAAAACAGCTGCAACAAAGCTAATACTATTTCACTCAGATGGGTGAAACTCAGCTTCCGGTGTCTCCTCATGTTCTAATTTTCCCTTTCCCGGCACAGGGTCATGTGAATTCGATGCTTAAGTTAGCAGAGCTTCTGTGCCTTTCCGGGTTCAAAATCACTTACCTGGTCCCCAAAAACATCCACCAACGTCTCCTCCTCCACACCAATATCGAATCCCGTTTCTCCCAATATCAAGGATTTTGTTTACAGAGCCTTCCCGATGGCATTTACGAAGGGAGTGTCAGCACCGGCGATGACGTAGTGAAGCTATGCGATTCTCTCAACTCAGTGGCGGTTCCATTCCTAAGAGAGCTGTTAACTCCAAAATCAGATTGGAACAACACCAAATCTCCAATCACAACCATAATTGCTGACGGGATCTTCAGTGTGGTCATTGACTTTGCTCAGGAGATCGGTGTGCCCATCCTCTATTTCCGCACAATCAGTGCTTGTGCATTCTGGGCTTACTTTTCCATACACGAACTTATTGAAGCTGGCGAAATTCCTTTTTCAGGTGATACTCTACTCAATCAACCAGCTCAGCTAATCTGTTTATTCTGCACTGATTGAAGATCGATATGCTGTAAAAAGTTTCTCACATGCCCACAAATATACTTGCTGTTTTGACGTAGGAAATGACATGGACTTAGCCATAAAAAAGGTAAAGGGCATGGAGGCGTATCTCAGGGGGCGTGATCTTCCGAGTTTCTGCCGAGCCACTGACATCGGAAACCCGATTTTGAAGATTCTTTCGAAAGAAACGCGAGAAACAGCTAGGGCTAATGGACTGATCATGAACACATTTGATGATTTAGAAGGACCAATCTTGTCTCAAATTCAGATCCATTGCCCGAACATTTACACGATTGGACCACTACATGCCCATCTCAAATCCAGATTGGCTGCAGCGAACTCAAATTCTGCACCGAACACTTCTTCAAACAGCTTGTGGGCAGAAGACAGAAACTGCATCCAGTGGCTGGATCAACAGCCGTCAAAATCAGTGCTTTACGTGAGCTTCGGGAGCCATGCTGTGGTGACAAAGGAACAGTTAATGGAATTCTGGCAAGGTTTAGTAAACAGCGGGGTGAAGTTCTTGTGGGTCATTCGGCCTGATTCCATCGTCGACCAAAATGATGAAGAAGGAAAGAGCAAGTCAATTCAGGAAGAATTGGAGGCGGCAACGAAAGAAAGAGGGTACATGGTGGGCTGGGCTCCGCAAGAGCAAGTGTTGGCCCATCCAGCAGTTGGGGGATTTTGGACTCACAGTGGATGGAACTCGACATTGGAGAGCATCATGGAGGGAGTACCCATGATCTGTTGGCCTTATTTTGCAGACCAACAAACAAACAGTAGGTTTGTTGGGGAAGTTTGGAAGATTGGGCTGGACATGAAAGATACTTGTGACAAGGTAATTGTGGAGAAAATGATTAGGGAGTTAATGGTGATTAAAAAAGATGAATTTCTGAAGACTGCAAATGAGATAGCTAAACTGGGTAGGAAGAGTATTGAGCAAGATGGTTCATCATATTGCAATCTTGATCGTCTCATTCAGGACATCCGGCTAATGAGCAACCCAGAACAATAATTATCATGTACTGTCATTGGGCCGAACCGTCCTGCCTGGACAAATATGTCTCTAGATATTTTTTTTGTTCCTTCAATAAGCTGTTATGAAGTTTTGCCTTGTTCACAAGTTTTAATTCTATACTGATTCTATACAAACCAAATACAATCTTTCCATACACGATACTACTCCCTCCGTCCCATAATTATTGTCCAGTTTAAGTTTTCATTTTTAGTTCAAATTGTACTAAAAGTGAAATTTCAAAGTGGACAATAATTTTGGGACAGAGAGAGTACAATATTTTTGATTTTTCTATTCTATCACAATCAAAATATACATACACTATTACTTCCTTAATTCTCTGAGAAAATGATGTTCAAAAGTCCTTCCCGTTGGATCGAGTTACTACTTCTTTTTCAGTTAAAAAAATTAGACACACCATCATTGGAAAATATTATAGAGTTTATAGGTGACATGCACCATATCATTGTCAGCTTAGCACTATCATCTCCTTTTTATAAGGAAAAAAAAACCATGCTTCGAAGTTCGAATTCGATGACTCTAGCCGGCGATGGAGATGCATATACATAAATTATTCTTCCGAATCTGACAATGCTGCACATGTAAAATATTTCTCAACTTGGTCAGGTTATGTAATTTATTAACCAGAAGGCATCGTTTCTTTTTATATGCTTAATCATACCATTAGTAATTAAAAAAAACTACCTAGATCTAGAACTGAGTCATCTCTGATTCCTTACCTGCTTTGTGATCTATAATCAAAATAAGCTTTCATGGAGGCAGTTCATGGAAACTCAAATCTGGAAACTAAGAAGGGTAAGCGATTGATTTTGTTTCCAGCACCTTTACAGGGCCATATAAACCCCGTGATTCAACTAGCCAATATTCTTCATGCCAAAGGATTTGATATCATCATTGTTCACACCAAATTTAACTCCATTGACCAATCAAAATACCCTCATTTCACCTTCCACTCCATCCAAGATGGCTTGCTGGAACACGAAGCTTCCACATCAGATGTCGTGGATCTCATGATAAAGCTAAACGGCAATTGCGTCCAGCCCTTTGGTGAATGCTTGGCCAATTTATTGTCAGATGGTCAAACAAAGCCTGTAATATCATGTTTAATCATTGATAGTTTCTGGTACTTCACTCGGGAATTGGGTGACAGATTCAAGCTCCCTATTCTTGCATTTAGGACCGTCAGTGTTTGTTCAGCTCTAGCTTTTAACTCGCTTCTGCTTTTTCAGAAACTCGGATATCTATCAAAACCAGGTACGAAAGTTTTCAAATTTCTAATCTGAGCTGATGAATTTGACATAGTGAAGAAGTCAGTTCATTTATTTGGTTTTTTGGGTGTTCTTTTTGAAGATGTAGATTCTGAGTTAGAAGAAGAAATACCCGAGTTTCCGCCCCTCAGAATGAAAGACATTCCGGTGATAAAGTCTAGATATCCCGATGGTATATTCAAGCTAATAAGCAGCATTCTGGAAAGTAACAGGGCAGCATCAGGGCTTATCTTCAACTCATTCAGGGAGCTCGAAGAACCGGCACTGACGAAAATAAGTCAAGAATGTCAATCTCCAACATTTGCAATAGGCCCATTCCTCAAATATTTTCCGGCCTCACCAAGCAGTTTAATGGAGCCTGATCAAAGTGCGATCCACTGGCTCAATAAACAAGCTCCCAAATCCGTTATCTATGTTAGTTTTGGAAGTACTGTTCATCTGAATGAAGCCCAAATGTCGGAAGTGGCGTCAGTGATAGCCAATAGTGTGCGGCCTTTCTTATGGGTGGTTAGGCCTGGATTGGTGCGAAATTCATTTAGGGTTGAGAATTTGCTCAATGGTTTCTTGGAGGCAGTAAATAGAAGGGTACATATTGTGAATTGGGCACCACAACAAGAAGTATTAGCTCATCCTGCTATAGGGGGTTTCTGGACTCATTCGGGCTGGAATTCGACATTGGAAAGTATATGTGAAGGGGTTCCAATGATATGTTCCCCTTTCTATGGTGATCAGCTGATAAACTCCCGATTTGTTAATGACGTTTGGAAAATCGGTCTGCGTGTGGAGAAAGGATTGGTAAAGGGAGAGATAGAAAGGGTGATTGAAAGATTAATGGATGAAAAAGAAGGGAAAGAAATAAGAGAAAGGGTTTTATCTTACAAGGAGAAGATCAATGCCTGTACAGAAGAAGGTGGTTCTTCTCAACAGTCATTGCAGGGCCTTATTGATCGCATCTTATCCTTCTGATCTAAGGGATGCATTTTTATTTTTATTTTTTCTGTCTTTTGTTTTTTTTTTTTTTCGTTACATAAGGGATGCATTTTTATTTGGATTGTAATCCGTTGTCCTAATACATTATTGCAAAAAAAAGAATTGACAGGTTTCATGTTAAATTCATGGATATATGTTAAGAAATCAAATATCCAACTATGTCCTAAACATCAAGTACTCTGTTTGAGTGACCCGCTTCTAAATTCATGATCTGCTTTCAATGGATAACAAGTGTAAGTTTTAGAATCCATGGAGAAACGGACATTAGTTTAAGTCCTGGAGCATTGTTTATGAGCTTTTAATTATAGGATCAATCATTTGTGACTGTAGTTTCGGTACACAATAATAATCCATTGAAACCCTTACAGATTGAAGAATGTGTTACACACACCGACAAACTGGATGGTTAATTTGTAGTATTTCTTTTCCCCATTTTTGCTGGTTTGGTATGGCACTCCATGCGTTTATATTTGCACACATATTTCCAGTGCCCACATGTCTCTTTCATCAGTTCATTTATCATTGATTGCATCTCTAAGAATCTTTTGACTTTAGAAACTTCAAGAAAAAAAAAAAAAAAGAACCAAATTGCTAGCAACCTGCCACTGCCAGAGTTAGGAAGGTTTTCCAAATCGCAAGTTGCGGTTGTTGTTGCTTACTATTGGCAAAATTACCGGGTAGCTTTCAATTTTCACGTGGAAAAAAAAATAGTACAAAAAGTTAGCAGCAATAATGATTTTCTAGTGAGGACAATTTCTAACACAAGTTAGTATATTCAACATTTTATTAGTTTAATCCAAAACTTGGAGATTTTTCAAAGCGTAGCAGCCTTTTAATTTAAGCTTTCACATTCGCCCAATAATGTATGCATTTTCCCTTCCTCATTGTTCATAACAGAAGAGCTAGCAGCAACGTTAAGCGCTGTCACAAAAGCTAATCCTGTAAAATTAATAATGGGTGAACATATCGTTGAGGTCCCGGCTCCGGCTCCTCACGTTCTAATGATCCCTGTTCCCGCACAGAGTCATGTCAACTCCATGCTCAACTTAGCTGAGATTTTGTGTGTAGCCGGCGACATAAACATCACTTTCCTGGTCTCCAAAAACATCCACGACGGGTTACTCCTTCACGCCAATGTCGAATCACGGTTTTCCAATTATCGGGGATTTCGTTTGCTCTGCCTTCCTGATGGGATTTATGAAGGTAAGATCATCACTACTGACGATGTGGCGAAGCTGAATGACTCTTTCAAGTCAGTGGCAGAGCCGTTTCTCAGAGAAGTACTGTTGAGCCTGAAATCAAATTGGACCAAAACCAAGTCTCCATTTACAACCATCATCGCTGACGGGGTCATGAGTTTTGCAATTGATGCTGCTGAGGAGATGAGTGTGCCCATCTTCTATTTTCGTCCAGTTAGTGCTTCTGCTTTCTGGGCTTACTTTTCATTGCCTCAACTCATTGAAAATGGCGAAATTCCTTTTTCAGGTTATTCTCACTACAGTTTAATATCAACTAACTAGCTCAACTGATACTATTAGTACTATACACACTAATAATTAGAAGGTGATTGTTAGATTCTGACAATTTTACACATACACACACACACACACATATATATATATATAATGGATGAATGAATGAGAATGAAAATTAATGAATACCTTGTTCATGTAGGAGATGATGATATGGATGTAGCAATAACAAATGTAAAGGGGATGGAGGGATTTCTCAGGCGTCGTGACCTTCCGAGTTTCTGCCGTAGTGGCATAAGAAGCCCAGATTTCGAGATGATTCTGACCGAAACAGCACAAACACCTCGAGCCAATGGATTGATCCTTAACACGTTTGAAGATTTAGAAGGACCCATCTTGTCACAAATTCGAACTTTTTGTCCAAACCTTTACACGATCGGACCGCTCCATGCCCATCTCAAATCTAGAATGGCAGCAGTAAACCCAAATTCTTCAATGAACTCGTCTTCAAATAGCTTGCAGGAAGAAGACAGAAGCTGCATCGAATGGCTGGATAAACAGCCATCAAGATCAGTGCTTTATGTGAGCTTCGGGAGCGTTACTGTGTTGAAAAAGGAGCAATTACTGGAATTCTGGAAGGGTTTGGTGAACAGCGGGGTTAAGTTCTTATGGGTCATCCGCCCTGATTTGGTCACTGGAAAAAATTGTGATGAACATAATAAGAAGTCGCCGGCGGATGAGTTAGAGACGGCGACGAAAGAAAGAGGCTATATGGTGGGCTGGGCTCCCCAGAAAGAAGTTTTGGCCCATCCAGCAGTTGGTGGATTTTGGACTCACAGTGGGTGGAACTCGACTCTGGAAAGTGTAGTTGAGGGAGTGCCCATGATCTGTTGGCCTTATTTTGGGGACCAACAGATCAACAGTAGGTTTGTTGGAGAGGTTTGGAAGATTGGGTTGGACATGAAGGACACGTGTGACAAAGTGATTGTTGAGCAAATGATTAAGGATTTAATGGTGGACAGAAAGGATGATTTCTTGAAGAAAGCAGAAGAGATTGCTAAATTGGCTAGGAAGAGCATTGGGAGTGATGATGGTTCATCGTTTTGCAATCTTGACCGTTTGATTAAAGACATCCGAATGTAATCATTCAGCCGCCCATAATTGTTTTATCCAGTGTCATCGCCAGCCAGAGCCAACAAGGTACCGGCCCATAAATATATATATATATATATATATATTGAGCCGGAATTCCGCCGCCGGTGGTGGGTTGTTCAATAATTGTTACTATAAACAAGATATTTCTTCCGATACTATAAACTAGTTCAAAGAATATTAAGGCTGGATTATTTATTCTGGCTTTAACTTTTTACATGACTTGTTGCAGAATGTCATAAACTAGATTGCTCGTTGCCTGCACCAGTCAACAAATTCGAGCCACATTTAAGGTCTCACCGTCGCATTTGTCTTATTATCATTATTATTACTAGTAGAAGCAGCAGACTAAAGTACTTCATCATTCCTCACAAAAATTCAGGTTCCAAATCAATCGTTTTGGAATGGGTCAAACTGATCAGAACCCGGATCCTCACATACTCATCTTCCCTTTCCCATTACAGGGTCATGTGAATTCAATGTTGAAGCTGGCTGAGGTTCTGTGCCTTACCGGCGGCATCAACATCACTTACCTTGTACCTCCGCACATCCACCGCCGTCTCCTCCTTCACGCCAATATTGAATCACGCTTTTCCAAGTATCCCGGGTTTTGTTTGCTCAGCCTTCCTGATGGAATTTACGATGGGGATATGAACACTGGTGACGATGCAGTGAAGCTCTTTGATTCTCTCAACTTAATTGCAACTCCATTCCTAAGAGATTATTTGCTAACACCAAAATCAAATTGGGCCAACTCCAACAATCCGATTACAACCATCATTTCTGATGGGGCCTCCAGTGCTTTCATTGACATTGCTCAGCAGATTGGTGTGCCCATTATCTATTTTCGTACAGTCAGCGCTTGTGCTTTCTGGGCTTACTTTTCTGCACCTGAACTTATTGAAGCCGGCGAGATCCCCTTTTCAGGTGATGCTTTACTTCATCTACTTTTTTTTTAAAAAAAAAAAAAAAATTAGTTGCTGTTGTTTCTAATATATTAACTAGTATCAGAATATTTTATGTAGAAAATGAATTGGATTTATCGATCACAAGTCTGACGGGTATGGAAGGATACATCAGGCGTCGTGATCTTCCGGGTGTTTTCCGGGACATTGAAAGCCCAATTTTCAAGATGTTATCGACTGAAACACGACAAACACCTCGAACCAATGGACTCATCCTTAACACGTTTGATGATTTAGAAGGGCCAATCATATCACAGATTCGGACTCCTTGTCCGAACCTTTACACAATCGGACCCTTACATGCCCATCTCAAATCCAGACTTGCTGCAGCAAACTCAAGTTTCTCAACGATCCCTTCTTCAAATAGCTTGTGGGCACAAGATAGAAAGTGCATCGAGTGGCTCGATGAGCAGCCGGAAAAATCAGTGCTTTACGTCAGCTTCGGGAGCATTGCTGTGGTGACAAAGGCACAGTTACTGGAATTCTGGCAGGGTTTGGTCAACAGCGGGGTAAAGTTCTTGTGGGTCATTCGCCCTGATTCAATTATTGAGCAGAATGATGAAGGAAATGACAGGCCAATCAGGGAAGAGTTGGAGAAGGCTACACAAGAAAGAGGATACATGGTGGATTGGACTCCTCAAGAAGAGGTCTTAGCTCACCCTGCAGTTGGCGGATTTTGGACTCACAGTGGATGGAATTCAACTTTGGAAAGTATAGTTGAAGGAGTGCCAATGATCTGTTGGCCTTATTTTGCGGACCAGCAGATTAACAGCAGATTTGTGGAAGAGATTTGGAAGATTGGATTGGACATGAAAGATACATGTGACAAGGAAATTGTTGAAAATATGATTAAGGATTTAATGGTGGTCAAGAAACAAGGATTGTCGAAAAGAACAGAAGAGATCGCCAAATTGGCTAGGAAGAGCATTGAGAAGGATGGTTCATCCTTTCGCAATCTTGAACGTCTGATTCAGGACATCCGGCTGATGAGTCGGCCATGAAACAAATTAACGTCATCATTGATCTGAAGTATAATGATCTAGTGTTTTAAGTTGAATATGAATGGCAGTTTTTTTTTTTTTTTTGGTTTTACTTGCTACAGATGTTGTCGGAGATACTTTCACGAAAGAGACGAGGATTTGGTGTCAAAATGATGCGTTGATAGTTTGATTATATACAAGTCAGCACGCTATTTCTACCCAACTTGCCTCATTCTAGATTTGTGCTGAATATTAATGATAAAAGGCTTCCATGACTTTACAATAACATCTCATCGGGACCAATTCAAAACATGCATGAAGCAAAGAAACAGATCAAAAAGTGATTTTTACATCATTATCTATGAACTGACGAATGAAATCTAACTCCTTTATACACATGAAAAAGCAGGAATGGATTACAGACTAAGCGACGGACCATTTCTAGATCAAAATGATAAGATGTAATCAACGAAGCTCTGTAATGACTGCTGAGAAGAGCCACCTTCTGCTACACAATAGTTGATCTTCTCCTTGTAAGATAATGCCCTCTCTCTTATTTCTTCTCCTTCCTTATCAGCCATGATTCTTCTTATTACCCTTTCTACGTCTCCCTTTTCCACCCCATTCTCCAAACGCAGGCCAAATTTCCAAACATCATTAACAAACCGGGAGTTTATCAGCTGATCACCAAACAAAGGGGAACAGATCATTGGAACCCCTTCACATATACTTTCCAATGTTGAATTCCAACCCGAATGTGTCCAGAAAGCTCCTATAGCTGGACGAGCTAATACTTCTCGTTGAGGAGCCCAATTCACTATATATCCCCTTCCATTAACGGCCTCCAAGAATCCATTTGGCAAATTTTCGAGCCGCCCTACTGAATTTGGCACCAATCCAGGCCTAACTACCCATAAGAAAGACCGCATACTATCGGCTATGCCCCATGCGACTTCTGCTAATTGGTTTTCATCCATTTCTGCAGTACTCCCAAAGCTTACATAAAGAACTGACTTCGGAGCTTGTTATTCTAGCCAGTAAATCGCACTTCGATCTTGTTCCAGTAAACTACTCGATGAGGCAGGAATGTACTTGTGAAGTGGACCTATTACAAATGCTGGAACATGACATTCTCGTTTGATCTTAGTCAGTTGCTGCTCTTCGAGCTCTCTGAAGGAGTTAAAGATCAGCCCTGATGATGCTTTAGTACTTTCCATCATGCAGTTTACCAGCCTGAATACATTTTCTGGATCTCGAGACTTCATTGCCGGAATGTCTTTTACTTTGAGGGGTGGAATCTGGCACTTCAAATTTCTAACTGAGAATCTAAGAATAAAAAGTGGAACATCAGTGGACAAAATGTCATATAAATTCGTTTGCAAAAAGTTTCAATCTTCACTACCGTGTAAAAAATTGAAAACCCCCACTGAGATTTGAATCAAACATACCTTGTTCTAGCAGACTATAATAACCCAGTTCCCGAAGACGCGGGATCCAGTGAGAAACCAAAAGTGAACAAATACTGGTAGTCCTGAATACAATTCTTGGAAGATTGAAACTGTCAGCTATTTCCGGAGTGAAATACCAAATAAAATCAATGATTAAACATGCAACAGGCTCCCCTTTACAATCTGCCAACACATTGGCCAAGCATTCACGAAAGGGTTGGATGCAATTGATGTTGAGCTTCGTGAGAAGATCTACAACGTCCGATGTGGAAGCTTCACGTTCCAGCAAGCCATCAGGGATGAAGTGAAAGGTGAAGTGAGGGTGTTTTGATGGGTCAAGAGACTTACATTGGGTGTGAATAATTGTAATACTATAGCCTTTGGCGTGAAGAAGGTTGGCTAACTGAATCATGGGGTTTATATGGCCCTGTAAAGGTACTGGAAAAACACCAAACGCCTACCCTTCTTAGCTTCCATTTTTGCATTTCCACAATTCTCTGCCTCCATGAAAGCTTCTTTCGGTCAAGCAGGTAAAGGGACCCTGAGGATAGTACTGAAACACTGCAATTGATAATGTCTGAAGTTTACTTTATATTGTACATTCATGAAGTAATTGTAGAATAAAAGAATAATGCAAATTGCAAAGACAAGTTCTGCATTGTCAGAAAGGAATCATGGCACAGTTTAATAAATTAACCACTTATAAAGCTTTTTATGTCCAGCTGCAATTTAAGGGCATTCACAGCAATAGTTTAATAGTTTAATTGCTGTTGAATGTCAGTACAAAAAAAAAGACCTCCGTTGTAGATTGTGTAATTTTGTCAGGTGGTTGAAATATTTCAACCTGTTGAATCTGACCAAAAGTGGGACATGTGGAGTCCATCTCATGGGCAGCCTCTGGCCAGCCCATTTCTTTTTTTTTTTTCAATTTTTTTCTTGATGGAACCCATGAATGGTTAGCCACGGTACGCATACTTTCTTCTTCTTTTTTTTTTTTTTGCCTTATTTCGTTTCCTTTGTTGTTTGTAAATTCTTTTTTTTTTTGGCTGTTGCGAAGAATTTAACCCATTTCCTATCTTTATTTTTTTTTGTTTTTTTCCTTTAAAAATCTGCCCGTTTTGTCACTTTCAACATCAAAAGCAAAATTTTTTTATTTTCGTGACCGTTATAAGCCCCTTTTTTTTGTCTTCTTCACAGCATCTCCAAAAAAAAAAATTCTTCATTGTGGTTGTCAAATTTGTGGCCGTAGAATTTTTTTGAATGTTGAAAAAACTAGCCGTTTCTAAATGTTTGCACTATAATTTGATAATTTTTTTAAGAGAATAATTTAAGGCTTTGCCTATAAATACCCCCAATATTGATTTCCATAACACACCACTTTCTCTATTTTTCCTCTCTTCTTACTTATAGTTCTTTCTTTACTACACATCAACTATTCAATTTTTTTCTTCTATTTTCTACTACCATGAGCCGAAAAAATAACAAAAATCATCCTACAAACAATGCAAATCTGTCTCACAATTTTCCAAATTCCCCCCGCCCCCAAAATTTTCATCCTACTATGCAAAATTTTGGATATCCTCAAAATTTTGGATATCCTCAAAATTTGGGTACCTCAAATTTGCCTCCTTATGTCCCAAATTCATTCGTGATGTATCAACCGCCCGGTTATTTTTCTCAAATGATTGGAAATAATTTTCCAATGGGATTTACAAATACGGGTTCATCTTCCGGAAGTCTACCTACACCGGTTTCAACAAGAGGAGACGTTCGAGACGATGACTCTCCAAATGCAACGCCAAGGGCATCAACTCCCCAAGATTATTTTCCACAATTTTCAACTCAATTTGGTTTGGATAATATTTCTTTATCGCAAGCATCAGAAAAAGAAAATACTTCAAATTATCAAGGTTGGAGCAAGGAGGAAGACGTACTTACGGCTCGTGCATGGCTCACGGTTTCTAAGCTGTAGCGTTACGGAAATTACCAAGATATGAAGGAATTTTGGAAGAAGATTACTACCTACTATAATGCAAACCGAGGATCTTTACCTCAAAGAGAACAAGGTAAGTTAAAGTCTCATTGGTTTTGGTTTTCAAAGTATGTCAATGAATTTAACCAACACTACAATAGACTATGGAATGAACACCGTAGTGGTTGGAGTGATGATTACGTAAGGGATGCGGCTCATGAGGTATATTACCAAATTAAGAAAAACATTTTGTGCATGAGCATGTGTGGAAAATTGTGAAAGATGATCCAAAATGGGTATTTGTTTCTACCGTTGAAGAGTCATCAAAGAGATCAAGAATCAATGAATCGGATCATACACTTCATCATCAAATGCTGATCGAAATGTTGAAATCAATGAGATCGAAGAGAGGTTCGTCAATAGGCCAAAAGCGACCAAGAAAGGAAAACGGAAGTCAAAAGAAAAGTGCAAGGCACGGGATGATGACGATGAACTTGTTGAACTTCGACAAAAAATGATGGATTTGGAAGCCAAAAAATTAGAGCAACAAGAATTTTACAATCAGGCGTACATGAGGCATACGGTTACCAAAGAATATGAAATTTTGACGAAGGACACCTCGAATATGACACCAGAACAACGAGCAAGACATGAACTTTTAGTTGAAAAAATCTTGTCTAATTATAGATAGTCATGTTAGGTTTTTATTTTGAATTAGTTATTTTCATTGCGAGTTTTTTGTTTTATTTAAACTAAGATGTAAGAGTCGTGTCACTGTATTTGAATTTTATTACATCATATTATTGTGTTTTAAATATGAAGTATTATTATGTTTACCGCATCGTATAATTATTATTGTACAACTTAGTGTAGTCACATCTCTCTTTTTATCTTGTCCCATTAAATACATTAATAGTGTAGTCACGTCATTCATTTTTTATTTGTCTATACGTATCGTATCGTAGTGTAGTCACATCTCTCTTTTTATCTTGTCCATTAAATACATTGATAGTGTAGTCACGTCATTCTTTTTTCATTTGTCCATACGTGCCATAGTGTAGTCACATCTTTCTTTTTATCTTGTCCATTAAATATATTAATAGTGTAGTCACGTCATTCTTTTTATCTTGTCCATTAAATACATTGATAGTGTAGTCACGTCATTCTTTTTTCATTTGTCCATACGTGCCATAGTGTAGTCACATCTTTCTTTTTATCTTGTCCATTAAATATATTAATAGTGTAGTCACGTCATTCTTTTTATCTTGTCCATTAAATACATTGATAGTGTAGTCACGTCATTCTTTTTTCATTTGTCCATACGTACCATAGTGTTGTCACATCTCTCTCATTATCTTATCCATACATTGGATAATATAGTCAAATCTTTTTTTGATCTTGTTGCAAGTACACTCTATAAATATGAAATGAGACTAGTAATATTGTTCAAGCCTTTTCAACTCTTTGGTATGCATATATTTTGCAACAACTCTTCACACACGACCATGTCTCAAAATTCTCTTCCCAATTTCGATCCCTCTATTTTTGACGATGAAATGAATGATTATATGCGGGAACAAATTTTTGATAACACGGGTTTAGAGGATTTAAGGAGGTTGGATGAGTTGATTGAGCAACGAAGAGGTGCAAGTTCTTCGCGAAGACGAAGGCATATCGATCGAGAGCGAAATTGGAGAACAAAGGTTATTTAATGATTATTTTTCTGACAATCCAGTATATTCTTCAGCTACTTTCCGTACAAGATTCCGCATGAGGAAAGAATTATTTCTCCGCATTGTACAATCTCTCCAAAATCACTCTGAATACTTTCAACAGAGGCACGATGCATCGGGTAAAATGGAATTTTCCCCATTCAAAAATCTACTGACTCTTCGTCAATTAGCATACGGATTACAGTAGGATTGTGTTGACGAATATTTAGAGATGGGTGGAAGTCGCACTACGGTGTTTACGATACTTCGTCATAACGTGATTGAAATTTTCATCACAATATTTGAGAAGACCTAATGATAGTGACGTTCAACGTTTACTTCAAATGCACGATGAACGACATGGTTTTCCAAGTATGCTTGGTAGCATTGATTGCATGCATTGGAAATGGAAAAATTGTCCAGTTGGATGGAGAGGTCGTTTTACTTCGGGTTATCAAGGTTCTCCCACCTTAGTGCTTGAAGCAGTCGCATCTGCAGATTTATGGATATGGCATGCATTTTTTGGAATTGCAGGATCTAACAACGACATCAACGTGCTCAACCAATCTCCTCTGTTTAACGATGTGTTACACGGGTATGCTCCCGATATTCAATTTCATGTAAATGGTACTCAATACGGTAGAGGTTATTATTTAGGCGATGGTATATATCCGGAGTGGGCAACATTTGTAAAAGTTTTACATCTCCGGTGGATTCTAAGAAAACTCTTCAAAAGGTGCAAGAAGCAGCAAGAAAAGATGTTGAACGAGCATTTGGAGTGCTTGATCCGTTGGAATATTTTACATGTTCCATCTCGATTGTGGGACAGAGCATCGCTTAAAGATATAATGTATACTTGCATCATATTACACAATATGATAGTTGAGGACGAGGGAGATGAGGTAACAAAGCTGGGTGATGACGCGGGGACTCAATTTTCGCATCATCAAGAGTTAATCCCTAATATACAACAATACATTCAACGAAATGCAGAAATACGCGACCGCGAAGAACACCATCAACTACGATCAGATTTGGTTGAGCACATCTACGAACGTTTTGGAAATGATTTTGATGAAATGTAGTGTTGTTAAATTATTTTTAGATATTTTTAGATTTTCACTATCTCTATAAACATCGTCTGGTAGTGAAATTTCAATATTGTTATTTTTTAAATTAATTATTGTACTTTATTAATATATTGTTCACTCAATGATTATTAAGCTTTTTTATATTCTTGTGTTATTTAATTATGTTTTTAGATTTTACAAAAATAATAAAATTTTATAATGTACTTTAGAAGTCATATAAACAAAATAATTATGAAAAATAAATTAATTATTATTACAAGTAAATATAATTATTTTTTATAAAAAGTAAAGTATTAATAGTAGAATAGGTGTGGGGTAATAATAGTGGGGTAGTTGTGGGTCCAAAATTATATAGGTAGTGAGTGTAATATTGTTGTAGGAAAAAGTGTGTAAAATGAGAGTGTAGTGGAATGCTGACGTGGCAGTGTAATGTTGTGTTGAATTATATGTATTATTGTTGATGCTCTAAATGGTAGTGCTATAATAAAACCATTGAAAAAGCTTGCAAGATTGGAAGCATTGTGCCTAAGCCCTAAGCTATGTGTGAATTTCAGTACTTCTTCCAATGATGGAAAAGTGGAATGATGTGCATGGCACTAACATGTTTTACACCAGATTCTTAATTAATTAGTGTTACTAGATGGAGAAAAGCTTGTTTGTCGTTTCCAATCATTCGCACTGGTGGTATCGATGGAGCATGGACTTTTTTTTTTTTTTCTTTTGATTTGTTTTTGCTGTAGTTTAGCTTAGCATCATTAAAAATTGCATTCTTAATATAAAGAAGGTCTACAGTATAAACCTGAATATCGATTAATTTTAAAATGGACAGTGAAATGAAAATAGTGATAAAAATGATTCATGTCTGCCCCAGATTACTTGTACTAGAGTGGTTGCATCAATTGGAGTTGCAAAGTTCTACGTTTAGACTTCGGACATTATTGTTGCTTGTTTTTCATTTCTCGTATACCAGACTCCATAAACGAGAGGAAAAGAACAAACCTTCAGATCATAACCATCTGGAGGTCTCAATTTTCTGACATTAGATGATGATGAGAATGGATGAATTTCAATGTTCAGTGATCAAGAACTATGACTGCCACCTTGACGAATATCCATAATCAAACGCTGAAAATTGGAGGAAGATGAACCTCCTTCAATCAGACAGTTCCTCGCCAATTCTGATAACTCTTCTGCCCTTCGAGAGAATTCCTCCTTTCTCACATCCATCAAATCCCTCACCATTTCCTCAACAATGGATCTATCACAAGTATCCTTCATATCCAACCCTACTTTCCATGCCTCGCTCACAAACCTACTGTTTAATTGCTGATCCAGAAAATAAGGCCAACACAACATGGGAACCCCTGCATAGATACTCTCCAAGGTGGAGTTCCATCCGCTGTGGGTCAAGAATCCTCCAACCGCAGGATGACCTATTACCTCCTCCTGAGGCGCCCACCCCACAATGAAGCCCCTCTGTTTTGTACCCTCTAATAATTCCGCCGGAATATGTTTCTCCCAGTTCTCACCGATAATGGAGTCCGGCCTAATCACCCACAAGAATTGAACACCACTATTCACCAACCCGTACCATAATTCCATGAGCTTCTCTCTGGAGAAGATTGCAATGCTTCCAAAGCTCACATACATCACTGATTTCGACGCTTGCTGGTCTAGCCACCCCAGGCAGCTTCTGTCTTCGGGCCATAAGTTGCTGGAACTGGAACACTTTGATTCTGTCACAGTTTGCTTGGATCTTTTGTTCTTAACATGTGCGTGGAGTGGCCCGATTGCGTAAGTATTCGGACAGGTTGCACGCAAGAGTGACAGTAATGGTCCATCAAGTTCTTCGAAGGTGTTAAGTATTAGGCCATGGGCTTTCGGAACTTCTTCTCCCTCTTTCATAAGCAGCTGCAAGGATTCGTAAGCTGTATCTCCTAGAGTACTAAATCTCGGCAGATCACGCCGCCGGAGAAAACTTTCCGTTCCAGGAACTCCTCTTACAGGCCTGTCCATGTCATCAGCATCTGTCATTCAAAATCTCAGTTAGCTATATTCTTTAATCATTTTTGCAATCAGTTTTCTATTATTATTGTTCTAGATGGATAACATAAGCAGTAATAGTGATAACCAAACAGTGAGTGTCAACTAAATTATAACAAGGACCTCAAAATCAGCACTAATTAGCCCTCAATCAAAGCACAAAAATGATATGATACAAACAGAAGTTTTGTTTAAGAAATTGAAACATACTGATATTTGTAGTATCCAGCGGGGGAAGTTCACCGGAGTCCAAGAGGTGGGGAAGGCAAAAGAATGTCCAAAGGGTACAAGGACCAATGGTACGGACATAAAATATTGGAATCCCAGTCTCTTTAGCAACATCAAAGGCAAACCCCATTAATCCATCGGCCACAATGCACGTCACCGGCTGCCAAAATGATCCAGAAATCAACAAGTCCTTCAAAAGTGGCATGGTATTGATCTTCAGGGAGTTAAACACCTCTATGAATCTGTCTCCATTACGCGGATGGTCATTGGGGAGACCATCGGTTAATGCCATGAGATGAAAACTCGGGTAACTATGGCGAAGGAACTGAATGTTGGAGGAAGTAACAAGTCGGCGGTGGATGCATTCGGTGACTACAAAGGTGACACCAAAACCTTCAAGGCAGAAGAGCTCAGCTAGCTTAAACATGGAGTTCACAGGGCCTTGGAAAGGCAGGGGAAAGAAGACTAAATGTGGCAGTGGCGCCTTTGGTTTCTCATCCATTTTCCAACAACTACTTCACTGCGCAGGGTTGAATGTTGGATTGATCATGTATTGACCCAATCAATAATACGAAGACCGCTCACAGTTGCGTGATTATTATCAGTTCTTAACTTAGGGCCAGGACTACATAAACTCAGCAAGTATCTCTACAATAAATTTCAAGTTTCTCAAGAAGTGGATGCTCAATATTTGATGGATTTAAGGACTTGAAATGATGATTATTACAACATGGTTGATGTCTAGTCATACCACAGTACCACACAAGACAAACTGACATAGCCAAACAATAATAAGTAATGCAACCAAGAAAATGAGTGGTTGTTGTCTTCCAAAAGTAAAAGTCATTTGGGTTCTTCCAAAAATGAAAAAAACCTCGTGTGAAACGCGACACAATTAGAATTTAGAAATTGATAGACAAACCAGAACACTTATCTCAGTTTCCAAAATCTCCAATGAAGCTGAAAAGATTCAATCTTGGGACATCATGGAATGAATATCCTTTACCAAACGCTCCAAGTTACAATAAGAAGAACCTCCTTCTTTCAAACAATTTCTAGCAAATTCGGCCATCTCAGTTGCCCGTTCTGTGAATTCTTGTTTTCTAACAACCATCAAATCCCTCACAGTTTTCTCAATGGTACTTCTGTCACATGTATCTTTCATGTCCAAACCAAGCTTCCATACCTCACTCACAAACCTACTGTTCACTAACTGGTCCAGGAAATAGGGCCAGCAGATCATGGGCACTCCTGCATAGATACTCTCTACGGTTGAGTTCCAGCCATTATGGGTCAAGAACCCGCCAATTGCAGGATGGGCGAGCACTTCTTCCTGAGGAGCCCAACCCACTATGTATCCTCGCTGCTTCGTTGCCTCCCGCAGGTCCGCCGCAATGTTACTTTCCCAATCCTTTCCGGCGATCGAATCCGGCCTAATAACCCACAAGAAGGGAATGCCACTATTTACTAATCCGTGCCAAAATTCCATGAGCTGGTCAGTTGTCAGCGTTGCAATACTTCCAAAGCTAACGTAAACCACAGATTTTAACGGTTTTGAGTCTAGCCACGTCATACAAGTTCTGTCTTCTTGCCATAAGCTGCTAGAAGACGCCGGCAACGGCGTGGCTTTCTGAGTCGATAACTTGGCTTTGAGGAGCTCATGAAGGGGTCCAATTGGGTACAAATTTGGGCAAATGGTGCGCATCTGAGAAAGGACATGGCCGTCAAGCTCCTCAAACGTGTTGAGAATCAAGCCACGGGCTCTAGAATTTTCTTCACCCTCGGATTTATAAAATTGGACTTGTTCGTCGTCTAAATCGCCAAGACGACAAAAACTCGGCAAATCACGGCGCCGGAGAAAATTTTCCGTCCCGGGTACATTTTTTATTAGCACATCCCAGTCATCTTCTGCTAAAACCCCCAAAAAAATAAAAATCATAAACATTAAGTAATCGAAATCATTAAGATGAAATGAAGATTTGTGGTCAATTTGGGGATAAGTACCTGGTTTGAAAGGGAGCTCCCCGGCTTCAATAAGCTTGGGAAGACAAAAGAATACCCAGAGGCAACAGGGACTGATGGTTCGGACATAAACAATTGGAATCCCAATTTCATTAGCAACATCGCAAGTGAAACCCAAGGAGCCGTCGGCGATGATGAAATCAACGGGCCGCCGTGAACCCGCGGCGGTGAGGCAGTCGGAAGTCAAAATGTCCTTGAAGATGGGCTTGGTTTTGGCCTTGAGAGAATCAAACAACTCCATGAATTTATCACCGGAGCGGGGATGATCAGCGGGGAGACCGTCAGGGATGGTCTTTAATTGAAATCCAGGATAATGATTAAACCGATCCTGGATGTTGGTGTAACGGAGAAGTCGGCCATGGATGTGTTCGGTGACTACAACGGTGACGTCTATACCGGCGAGGCAGAGGAGTTCAGCAAGCTTGAACATGGAGTTAACGGGGCCTTGTAAAGGTAAGGGGAAGATGAGGACATGTGGCGGAGGCTTTGTGGTTTGATCCATTCCGGTGATTTACACAGTTTGGTAAAGGGAACAGAAAGAGAATTGGTAACAGAGGAGAGACTAGAGTTCATGGAGTTATTGCAGAAGATGTCTGATGATCATTGCGCAGAAACTGTCTGCTTAGTGCTTACCAAACATTAGGGTCTGTCATTTTGCATTACGGGCCCAGCTTCAATGCTGTCTGATCTGCCAACTAAAACGCTCCTATTTCAGTTACTTATTCTTCTTGGACTCGGCCCTTTTATCCTAATTTATTAGCTCAAGCCCAAATAGCTTTTGCTTCTTGCTTTTCTTTTATTTTTAATTCCCTCGTTGTGGATTCTTTACATGGAGGTTAGGGGAAATTGGTCTGTCATCATTCAGTAAAGGAGTTTTTAATTTTACATATAGACTAAAAGAGATAAAATATGAACGGAGAGCACAAATAATCTGTTACTGTTATTATCCTGTGATTTTTTTTTTAAAAAAAAGAATGATAAGTATAGTGAAAGATGATTGTGATTGATGTTTTAATTTACTATTAATGGTTTAAAATATGATAAGTATTGTGTTTGTCGAGTCGTGAATGCGCATTAGTTAAGACCCTTGTATTAAATCTTTCAAATTTAAGATTCGGTTTCATAACACAACGCTATATATATATATATGTTTCGCACTGGACCTCCTAACACCATTTGAGTTCCAGAAATTTGGCTAAGATGGGTTGCTCTCTCATGAGCTAGTTAATGAGTAATGCTTTTGTTGCCTACTATATAGCTTTTAAGGTGATAATAATTGATAATGCTGTGACAGGTGATTAAAATGTACTACGACTTAACACACTGCAAAGCATTGAACAAACTTTTTCCTTCTTTAATTGAGGAAGACATTCACCAATGTATCCTTTTCCTTCTTTTTTTTTTGAGTTGATTCTGTTTTTGGTGATATATTTGTAACAATACATGAGATGTCTCGCCGAGTTCAAAGACATCTGTTATGTCGTCGCGGGGTCGTTGATTTGATATCCTCCACAAGACGATTCAAATCATGGTAAGAAGATCCACCTTTGTTTACACAAGCTTTTGCTAACTTTGCCATATCCTCCACTCTCCCCAATATTTCATTCTTGCCGTCCTCCATGATTTCCCTAATCATCATCTCAACGATGCCTCTATCACAAGTATCTTTCATGTCCAATCCAACCTTCCAAACTTCCCCAACATATCTACTATTCATCTGTTGATCAGCGTAGTAAGGCCAACAAATCATAGGCACTCCTTCCACTATACTTTCCAATGTCGAGTTCCAACCACTGTGAGTAAAAAACCCGCCAACCGCGGGGTGGGCCAAAACCTCTTCCTGAGGAGCCCAACTCACAATGTAGCCTCTCTCTTTCGTAGCCAGCTCCAAATCTCGATGAATTTCACTACTTTCACCATTCTCTTGCCCCAAACCGGCGACGGATCCGGGTCTCCGGACCCACAAGAAACGAACCCCGCTGTTCACAATCCCGTGCCATATTTCCATGAACTGCTCGTTCCCCATGACAGCAAGACTCCCGATGCTGACATAGATTACCGACTTGGCCGGTTGCTTGTCAAGCCACGAAATGCAGTCCTTGTTCTCTTTCCAGAGGCTGTTTGTGGAGTTCCCGATTGATTCTTGGTTTTGATGATGATCAGAAGAAAGTCGGGTCTTGTGGTGCGTGTGGAGTGGGCCAATGGCGTAGACTTTGGGGGTCAAAGTCTGCAATTGGGAAAGTGTTGGGCCTTCGAGATCGACAAAGGAGTTGAAGATGAGACCATGGGCCCGTCGCATGGGACTCTCCACCGACATGAGGCGTTGGATGATGGGGTCACTTTGGTCGCTGTTTCGGAAAAAGCTTGGAAGATCTCGGCGCCTCAGGAAACCTTCCATCCCCGGAAGACTGGTCACCGGTGCATCCATGCCATCATCTGCAAAAAGGTTCAAAAAAAGGAACTTTAAGGGATTTGCATGAACTACTAATTTCTTAATCTTCTTCTTCTCCTTCGTCTTTGGGATGAATTAGATACACTTCATTGGTGGAAAATCTTGACCAAAACGTCTATTATATATAAATATGTGCTTATTGAGCGAGGACCAACAATAATGAAACTAGTCATTCACGTGGCTATACATTTATCCAATCGTTCTTACCTAAAATGGACAATCGGAAACTTTTCAAAAAAATTGGTAGCACGTTGAAATGTTGAATCATGAATGAAGTGTCGGTGTAGACATGAGTTCCCATTTGTGCACAACTCGAATGGAGACAGTTAAATTACTTTAGGTAGATAGAGATCGAAATACCAAGTATCAATACAGGCTGGTGACATTATTGGGAGTATATAAGTCAACATTCAAATATTATCTTAATAGATCAACTTTGTCAGTTCTTACGTACGTCCTACCCTATACCGCTATACGTACTACTTCCCCCACCAAAACGTGGAAAATATGTAAATTCAGGGATCTCTTACATGCACATTATACAGTTTGATTCAACAGCGTGGTAGTTTTACTAAGCAAGGATTACTAATCTTTCACGTCTAAGTAGGAAAAATTCCAAAAGTTTATAGTTTTTCTATTACTCCTACCTAGGTAAGCAAACAAGGGTTTGTCAACTCTCACGTAAACTAATTAATTACGATACGTAAAAGTGTGCAAGCTTATCAATGCTTTGAAATCTACAAACACGATCGTCAAGCTCGACCTCGAATGATGATACTAGTAAATTTTAAGAAGATTTTAAATTAGGAGACTTAATTAATCGTATGAAATCCGGTATCAGAAGTAGTGGCCCTAATTAGAAAGCATGATGGCCGGCGTCATCATATTCCTAGTGTGATTTTTTATTTTAATGATTGATACTTAAGTTTATGAATGTTTCACAATTTTGATTAATTACAATACTAAGCTATCTTCATTTTCCTAAAACGAAGAAAATGCACAAGTTATGGTAATAAGGAAACCACGAAATGTAGACGTTTGGTATTTCCTAACTAATTTAAATTAATATTCTCTGAACAGATTCACACAAACACATATAAATGCAGTAACAAATCAAGCATATCATAAACTCAAATACTAAGAAACTGATAAATTGTGTGATTAAAGAGAGAATTAAAAAGAAAGAAAAAACAAATCAACGCACCTTTGAAGGGATAATCTCCTCCTTCTTTGAGCCTGCGAGCATTAAGGATCGCCCACTGAGCACAAGGACTAATGGTATCAAAGTAAAAGATTGAAACTCCAAATTCTCCGGCAACATCCGCCGCAAACCCGAAAGCCCCGTCCGCTATGATACAACTTATCGGGTTTCCATCACGATCATCATCATAGGCGGCGCCACCGGCTCCGCCGCCACCGAGTCGGAACACACTAGACCGAACCATCTCCCTGAATACGGGCAAACTGGAAGATTCCATGGATTCCAACAACTCCCCAATCTGTTCACTAGTCCTCAGGCTGTCCTCCCGCAACCCATCGGAGACGGTACGGAATCTGAAAAGTTCGCCGTAACGGTTAAACCGGGTGGAAATGTCGGAGTAACGGAGAAGGCGGCGGTGGATATAGTCGGTGTTGAGGAAAGTGACCTGAATACGGTGGAGGCAGAAAATCTCGGCGAGTTTGAGAAGGCAATTGACGGGTCCCTGAAGGGGTAAAGGGAAAAAGAGTACGTGAGGATGGGTCGTCAGCAAAACTTCAGATGGGTTTTGATGATGATGATTATCCATATGCTTTGTTGTTTTGGTACGGTATGGAAGAATGGGATTTTGGACCCCAGAAGAAAGAAAGAAAAAGCTTTTTACTTTTTAGGAGGACTTTCAAAAAATTTGGTTGTGATGTAAATTTGTCTGGAACAAAAGTTTTTGGTATTTTGTGGGCACTGTTTGTAAATTACTAAAATGTGTCAAATGTCATTCGGCTGTGTTGTTCTTGACGGAACTACTAAAGAGGATCATGCATGCAGACACATTTATTTATAGTGTCTCTCGAGATAGGATTGCGGGCACGCAATTTCTGAAGGGATTTTTTTTTTTTTTTCGGGCTTCAGATTTTGTGTAAAAGAGATTTGGTGTTGATTTGGACTATACAATGGAGTGGTAACTAATGGCGGTAGTCTGATAGTGATGGCGCTTTGGGGTAATTAGCTCTCTCCTTTCCTGGTTTTAGAAAATTAGAGATTGACTCGGAGGTGATTTTACCTCATTTGGTCAGCCAAATCACGTGGAGGAACGCATTTTTGTTTTGAATTAACTTGATTTGTGAAAACAAACTAGCACTAATTAAAGTTAAATATGTTTGGGGATCTTTATCTCCACACGTTTCCTTTGGCTTCCATACTTTTAACATGTTGATGATGATGATGTAATTAATGTGTTGATTACAATCTTATTAGCAACTAATAAGATCCAGACCCATTGTGGCTTTGTTATCTACCATTGCTAACAACAATTATATTAGTTATAAACGCGTAACATGATCTTCATCTTTTAATTAACGACTTCTACATATTACTACAATCCGGTGCATAGACTTTCATTTGATGAGAAAATTTGTGACTCCGTCATTCTATATTTCGTAAAATGAATGAGCTGCATTAACCACCAACCACATTTCGGCTATCTTCGCAAAGGGTTCAAAATAAAAGAATAAGGAAATTACAAACTAAGCATTTCTTTATTTCAAAAACTAATCATTGGGCTGGTCCTATCCACCATTTGGCAATGTCCATTTTTTCCTGCCTTTTCTTCATACTGTTGTAGCATACCACATACTATGTTCGTTTATTAAATACGGAATCAATGTCCACACGATAACGATATAAGATGTCAGGAAAGAAGGGCGAAAATCGTCGTGACATCAATTTATATTTGTCTTCAACTCTTCCTTTTTGGCTTCCTCATTTTATTGGGTTTCAGAATTCAGTGGCTCTCCTAGAGTTTCCCAACAATACATTTTCTCTATTTTGACTAATACTTTCCCGGTTTTTATTATAAAACATGTTTCAACATTTGTTTTGATCTTTTTCGTAAAGCACTTGATATATTTAAAATTTAATTTACTATATTTTTTCCAATTTAGTCTCTCTTTTTTTAGTATATTGTGCACCCGGTGTTTGAAGTCGCTAATTTGAATTCAAGTCAGTTAGGTCTCTTTTGGTCATTCTTTAATTATTTGATAGCAACACTAACTAACCTTTCAAATCTAGATAGATTTTAACTGGAATAGTATAAGCAATTTAGTCTAGTTTTGTGATTAATATAACTAATTCAAATATATATATATATTAATTTTGACTATATAGTTATTTATGCATTATAATCAAAATAGCACCGAATGGAGTAATTGATTTATTATTACCTTTATATTGCATAGGAGGGACCGCGCGCAGAATGCATTTTTATAGGGTTTATCAATTAGGACATGATATATTGCGGTAACTTTAATTTTTAATACAAAATGAAAAATGGACAATCATTTTTGGATAAAAAGAATACAAAATTAGATTACACATATCACACTTAATTTTCTTGTTACTGCTAGGAAGCTGGCAAGGTCACGGCCTCTATCACTAGGCCACCCCCTCATTGGCCAATTAACGTATCGGTTGAATTAAATGGACAATGAATTTAGGATACGTTGTATCGATCATAGGCAACAAATAAAATTGAAATATCGAAAAATGAAGGCTCGAATCAATTAAATGGTCCAAAGAATCTCATCCTTAGGCTTGGAAATATTCAGGGAACGTCGTAGACATCAGAAAACAAACAATGACGTTGAAAGGGAAATATGCGCTACCTTTGGTTTGTTTTCTGTGATACCCTTACGTTGGCAAATATTTCTCTGGATTCTGGCATCCCCTAGATTTGATTCCTTTTGGTGAGGATTATTTATTCGGGAAGATCTACAGATATGATTCTCCATATTTAGAAAAACTGACGGAGACTGAGTTCACAAGTCTATATATCAACATATATGATGACTTCACGAAATCATGAAATATTTCCTTCAAATCTCCATAACCTCCCAATTATTCGTTTGTTAATCATTTATTTATTTTATTAAATGGAACATGTGATGTAAATAGTGAAAAGTCTTCCTTCTACTGCATAAGTTCAATATTGTTTATTATGAGGATTGAGGTGATCAGCTGCAGGCCATAATTGAGACGATAGGTGATCTGCTTATAATGTCTTGATGGACATTTTTCAAAAGGTGTTTTTGGAAATTCATCCCAAAAATCTTCGACGAATCTTACAAAATAAATATATTTGTGTAAAGTATCGTCTGATTCTAATTGATTTTGTACTGTAGTATTGAACATTAATTCAACACTGCAAATTTTCATGGTCCAAGTACAAATTAGTGAGCTGGAATAACTAAGAATATTCAATGCATTTCTCTAAATATTAGCTGTATCGATCATATTTCAAGTCTTCTTTATTGAGTATGAGGCACACAGGCATAATTGTGTTTTGCCTTTTGATAGTGCATTTGTTTCCACAAAATCTTGTCCATCTTTTCCACACACAAATAGTTAGGGCCTTGTGCTGCTATCTACCAAAGATATCAAAAAATTGTGACTCAAATACGACTTTAATTGAAAAACAATGACGAAATGAAGTTACGATTTTCCCGCTAAACAGTGTTACAGATTCAGTATATTAATTTGGCTGGTTCAAGTCAACCTGAACTGAATCAAGGCAAATCAAAATGACATCAATTAGAAACATAGTAATGATGCAACACAATCTTTGATTTTCCTGTAACAAATCAGCAAGAAAATATGAGACATGGTAATGATGAAACAATATACTATTTGATTTCCCCACGAGGAAGGGTATTGACTCTTGACTTTCAAAATTCCAACAATGCAACTCAAGAGTAAAAAAAGAAAAAAGAAAAAAAAAACACTAGTAATAATCTTACCCTCCCAAAAGAACTCTGTTTCCTTTTTCATATTTTTTATTTCAAAAATAATTTATTAATAATTTTCTTATTCTAAGATACATTTTTCATTCACAATACAAAAAAATTCTAAAAACTCATAGTACTAAGTACACCTATTGAGATTTTTTTTTTTTCTCTGCATATAATACAAGAAACCGTGATTAATTTACTTATGGGATATAGACGTAGGACAATATCTAAAAAAATTTATGGTTATTCTATGTATTTACATGCTTCAAGCCCCAATTTATGGTTTAGATTGGAGGGGTTCTTTGATTTTTCACTCAATCGCATCTTCTCCTTCTTTTTTTTTTATATTGCAGAGTGTCCACCGCTGACAACAATAACATTCACAGAAAGCATTTTGATGGGTGAGAGAACTGGCAAAAACAATCGCATCTTCTTTAGTTTAAATAGTGAGCGAATGTTTCAATATAATATCATTTTTTTTAATTGGCAAAATCAAACTACAAATCTTTTATTGTAACCTTAATCACCATTTAATATTTTACGCTTCGATCCACTCGTATGCTTTTCTCCTAATTTTCATATAATAGGGCTTACACCGTTGACAAGAAAGAGTAATTGATAGTTTTGTTGAATTACAGGCAATATTAGAATGAATGGACATTTATATTTATCCAAGATTTTAAGGCAACTATATATATGATCAATACAATATTCAAACACTCAAATTTGATTAATGATGAATAAGTTGTTCATCTTTGCGATAGTTTTTAGTACTCGGAGAATTTGTAATAATTCTTAATAAAGCGATACATTCAAGATTAAGAAAAAAAAAAGAAAGAAGAAAGAAAGAATAAAAATCTATTTTAGTATTTTATTCATCTTAAAATAATTTGTTAGTTTATTGTACGATTATCATTTCAATGCAAAAGATCATAGATTGATTATTTTGGAACGGGTAGTTTTCTCCCTCTGTGTGTCTTGTTTAAATGTAGTACAATATCATCAATGTTTATACGAGTCGAAACGGCGGGTCTTCAGCTACACGCCGACATCTTTGAAACAATTATCAACTTGACAGGTACTCGAAGATTCACGATTGATTCATGATAGACACATGAACCCATGCGTGCCTGATGCCTCGATTAAATTTAACCTTAATTTCGTATTCATTTGCTTTGAACATTGATAGACCAGAAATTAAAATAATTGCTTTGAACGCCGAAGCCTGCACTAGTATCCTAATTATAGTTTGACTGTTTTGTCCAGAGAGGTTAATTAAGTTTCTGTTTGTAGTATCCCATTAATACAGTAATACTTTTGTTAATCAACATAGCCATTAATTTGGGTGTCATTTATAAATCACTGGTGATTTTAGACGAAAGTATGGATAACGATTGCAATTTTTATCCCCTCCCAAAATAAGTTGAACTTGAAATGGAAGTATTGATGAACTTTGACAAATCAGCGTCGGTTGACATGGTTTGAAATAGTCAACGAGCAAATCCACGATGATCAACAAGCAGATCATGTATGAGAGATATCTTGTCTGACGTACTTTGATTCGAAATGTAATCCGCGTGAGCTTTGTGGTTAACGCATAAGTTGGAACTTTGAAAGAAAAAATTATTGGCGTTCGCTCATTTCATATATGTGGAACGAAGAATCATTTTACACAAACTTAACACCAAAAGAAGTATACGATGAAATTTGATGATCCACCGACACTTATTACCAACTTATTCAACGCACATGTTCAAATTAACTTTTAATCACCATTAACCAACCTAAGATAATGAATTTAAGAGTTATCCAATATTGACCCATAACTGAAAAATTAAAAATAGATCATTGAAATGAAATTATAGTACAACAAAACAAACAGTGTTATGTAATCTTAAGAACTCTCGACTATATTTATTTGAACCTGGTCAACTTAATGTCTTCAACGAGGCGGACCAAATCATTGTAAGAAGATCCACCTTGTCGTACGCTTGATTTGGCCAAATTCGCCATTTCACCAGCCCTTTCCAATAATTCATCCCTTCTAACATTCATCAGATCCCTCACCATCTTCTCCACTATAACTCTGTCACAAGTATCTTTCATGTCCAATCCAAGCTTCCAAACCTCGGACACGTACCTGCTATTGACCTGTTGGTCAACGAAGTATGGCCAGCCAATCATTGGCACCCCTTCCACTATACTCTCCAGCGTTGAATTCCACCCACTGTGTGTCAAAAACCCACCAATTCCAGGATGACCCAATACCTCTTCTTGAGGAGCCCAACTCACAATGCATCCCCTTTCCTTGGTTGCCTGAGCCAATTCCTCTGGAATCTCATCTTCTTTGTTGTTCAATCCCATAATCGAACCTTCTCTATGAACCCACAAGAATCGAAATCCGCTGTTAACTAAACCATACCAAATTTCCATGAGCTGATCTTTTGTCATGGTTGCCAGGCTTCCAATGCTGACATAAATTACAGATTTTGATGGCTGCTTATTCAGCCACTGAATACAGCTTTTGTCTTCTTTCCAAAGGCTATGGTAAGAGACTTCAGGGAGTCTTGACTTTAGGAGGGTGTGAATTGGCCCTACAGCGTAGACTTTTGGGCCTAATGTTCGCATCAGATTAAGTGTGCCTTTATCAAGTTCTTCAAATGTGTTGAAAATTAATGCCTCGGCCCGAGGTAGTTGTTCGTCCTCTTTCAGTAGGAGCTGGATTAATATCTCGTCAACTGAGTTAAGTCGGTAGAAGCTGGGAAGATCCCGACGTCTCATTACACATTCCATCTCTTCCACATTCTTCACCGGCGCATCCAAATCATTGTCTGTATTCTCTCAAAATGAAGAAAAGAAAAGCAGGGTATCAAATCATTTATACATAAACTCAATCTATGGCTAATTATATCTAAAACCAGAAATCACGAGAATTATTATCAATAGTGCCGTTGACTAACCTTTGAATGGGAATTCTCCGGCGTCAATGAGTTTTGGAAGACAGAGGTAAGTCCAGAGACCACAAGGACTTACGGTGTCAAAATAAATAAGCGGGAGCTTGATTTCTTTAGCCATATCACAAACGAAGCTGAAGAACCCATCAGCTATAAAACAAGTCGCTGGGTTTTCGGAATTAGGACCAAACGAACCAGAGGTCAGCATCTCTGTTAAAATTGGGAGGCTCACAGCTTCCATGGATAGCCATAACTTCACAAGCCCATCACCTGTACGGGGAGCACCATCAGGAAGCCCATCTGGGATGGTTTCAAACCTGAAATTGGGGTAGCGTTTGAAACGGGGTTCGGCATCGCTGAAGCTTCTCAATCGGTCCTGGATGTACTCTGTGTTGATGAAAGTGACGTGTATTTCTTCAAGACAGAACAATTCCGCTAGTTTGAGCATACAATTGACCGGGCCCTGAAGCGGCAAAGGGAGTATTATTACGTGGGGAGTGATTGGTTTCTGGTGATCCATCCCGCCGGGACTCGATTATGGTAGATTTAGCCAAGTGGTTTTGTACTCTGAAATGAAAGGAAAAAAGGCAACTTTTAAGAATTAGCTTTCTATAGTTGTTGTTTTACTTTCCGTCCAGTTCATGTACTTACTGATTACAGTATTATCCAAATATACAATATTATCACACGTAGTCATGATACAAACGGACAAAATGGAGTCACTTGTTTTTACCAACTTTATTTTTAGTTATTTTATTGAGATGATGAGACATGGGAGATGAGTGGATGATTAAAAAAAAGTGGGCAGCTTGACTTTATTTTAGTCGATCTTTTGTTTGGCTGTCATTTATAATATTTTATTCAATTTGCTTACTGTTGTATCTCTATCGTCTCTGCAGGGGGGATTGACTGGCTGGGGATAATTTGTCACAGAATGGCCCAAGCCAAAAGCAATAAAAAAAAAGACATCAGCAGTCTGCAACAATAGAGATCTCCCGAATTATCATATCATATTCATAACTGGGAAAGGCAAAGGGCAGACGCAGAGACGCCTGCATGATGCACCAATCCTTTATAACAGAATTATTAGCTAGATTTTTGTTCAACACGTTACAATAATACTCTTGGTTTCAAAAATAAATTTCATGTTTGTTCAATGTAAAAGTATTTAACTATGGGAGATTATGCCACAGTAACTTTCCTGAGGGCAGGGATGTTGACAAAGCAGCGGCGGCAACTTCAATAGTTCAATGGGCCTCAATGTCTAGTATAGGATTTCCATGGTCTATGGTAAGAGAGCAATTACCAATTTGGCACGCAACTTGGCACTTGTTACATGTGCGATATGTGGGATTCAAAAAATAGAGATTTGATGATTTTTTTTTTAAAAAAAAAAATGTTGGACTACACACTGGATATTTAAATTACTAGTAGATCGTTAGTAATGACTCAACTCCTACTAGTACATCTCAATTAGGCTTGTGAATTGGTAGAAAACTAAAGCAGTACTTTTATATCTAAATTCGCCAATGAATTCACTTCCATTTCTGGAATTTGAGACTAATGTCAGTATGGTTCAATGAACAACAAACAATAGGCAGTAGGCACGAGAACGGATACGAACAAGAGAGTGTTGTTTTTTTATTGAAGGGAAAATTTTGCCCAAACGCCTTCTAAACGAAACAGTACTGTTTGAGTTAGGCGGCCGAATGGTTTACGAACATCCGTTGCAATTTGTCTATCAACTTTACCTGCCGTTGCATTTGGTATGAAGCCTATCATTATGAGACTCGTGACAAGAGATTTTGTTCTCTGTTCAAGTCTCATTAAAAAATGATGTAACTGCTTATTTCGCAACTTCCCTCCTCCTCCTGGTTATACTTGAGAAAACAAATCACCGTAAGAACTGAAAGGACACTCAATTATAGTTGCTTCCAAAAAGTGCACCACATATAGGATCACATTACGCCAAAAGACCATGACAATTTCATTAAAACAATTCCACAATTTATTCCCAGAAGAAAAAAAAAAAAAAAAAAAAAGGAAAAAAGACGCAGCTGCCCATTTGTTACGATTTTCATCATTTCAAGCTCCACTTTTTGATGTCTTCAACAAGCCGGCAGAAATCGGAGTGTGATGATCCTCTTTCCATAATGCTTTCCCTTGCCAATTTCGACCATTTCTCAGCTGAATCCTGATATTTATTATTTTCCATTAGTTCCTTAATTCGTTTCTCGATTATATCTCTGTCGCAAGTGTCTTTCATGTCTAATCCCAATTTCCACACTTCACTCACAAACCTGGAGGTCACCAGCTGATCCACGTACGCAGGCCAGCAAATCATGGGGACTCCTCCAATTATGCTTTCCTGGGTCGAGTTCCATCCACTGTGGGTTATAAATCCACCAATTGCTGGATGGGCCAGGACTTCCTCTTGCGGAGACCAGCTCACAATTAGGCCCAAATCATTGGTTTTGTCGTTTAGTCCCTTTAAGAACTCATCATGCTCCACTTTTTGTTCCTTGATTGACCCTGGCCTGATAACCCACAGAAATTTGTACCCGCTGTTCATTACACCGCGCCAAAATTCTAACACCTCTTCATTTGACGAGTTGCAGAGGCTTCCAAAGCTTATGTAAATCACCGACTTTGATGGTTGGGAATCGAGCCATTTCAGACAACTCTTGTCTTCTTCCCAGAAACTGTTTGATAGGTTTGGGCGTTCTTGAGATTGTTGGCCTGGGCGTATTGCTTTCTTTAGATGAAGTTGGAGTGGCCCAATCATGTATACATGGGGAACATCTGAGCGGAGATGAGAGGAAACTGGGCTTTCCAGCTCGGCAAATGAATTGAGGATGAGGCCCGCTGCCCGGGGATACGCCTGGATTGATTTGAACACTAGCCTCGCATTCCCGTCTAGGCTGTAATCTCGCCGGCAAAAGTCTGGGAGATCTCGAAACCGGAGAACACCTTCCATTCCCGGAATGCTTGTCACCAGCGTGTCCAGGTCATCCCCTAACATTCAAGTTCAACATTCCGATGGAAATAAGATTCAACGGTGGCTATTCGGTCCAGTATCCAAACTCTTTTTTACCCCCCCAAAAAAAAGCAACTAAACCCACACTATCCAAAGGGGGCATCTATTTCATATTCCTGATTTTTGCTTTATCTTTTACTACGTTCTTAATGCACTTTTAATCATTTTCAACAAAACTTCATGGAGTCCAGGAAGAAAGGGGGAAGAAGAAGAAGAAGAAATAGTTGTTCATACATAATATTAGATTAGTAGCAAGTAGCAATTGTTGAGAAATGGCCCCCCGAGATCGCCTAAAGGTCACGCACCCTACAATTATTAACAAAATAAAAAATAAAAAAAAAAATCCAGTTTCTTCTGAATATAACGTGGAATTGAGGATCAAAATATAAGTTTGAGATTTTTAATATTATCGTGTTGTTACAACTATGCAAGTCCTCCAATTAATTGTTACAACTATCGTGTTGTTACATTCAGTACAGCGAATTAATATATAATATCAGTCTATAAGACATATTAGATGCTTGGCCCAGGCAGATGTCTGGGCGCCCCTCTACTTTAATTTTGTGTTAATAGATAAATGAATTCTTGATTTGGAAAAAATAAAATAGTTACACATTTGTTTTTTTTTCTTTTTTAGCCAAAAGTAAAAAAAATATTGAAAAGTACAACGATGCAAAAATCATAGAAAAGAATGTGGAGTAATAAAGGGGATAAGTTTATGGGCAAATTTAAATATTATTTTAATTTAATTGGTAAATGATAAATGTTAGGAGTTAAAATTGTGTAGTTTTGTTTCTCTGGATAAGAAATTTTTTTTTTTTTAAAAAAAAAGATGACACGTGGCAGAATGGTTAATGCAATATGGTGCATTTGGAGCCAAAAATTTTTAATAAGAAGTTGTCACATCAACATCCTGTATTCTGCTTTAATAGGGTAAAAGGGATTTTCTTAAACAAATTTATACTTTGTCAACTTTCAAAATAACAAATATCAACTATTTTATTAATCAGTCAAAAATAAACGATAGGGAGGTTTATTTGGGGAAACAAAAGTACATTAAAACACTGGTAATCAGCCATCTTGGCACAAACCTAATACTCTCTAATAACTACAAGTATAGCGGCCATGTTCAAGTGCAGCCAACAAACACTTGGGATAAAAAAGGTCATGCTGGGAATTTTTGTGCCAAAATTTTAAGGGAAAACAACTACACTTGATTAAACACTGAGGATATATGTGATTTATTTATTTGTTTGTTTATTCTATGTTATAATATACAGCATCATTTTTTTTAGTTATGTATTAATTTATTAAGTGGGACGCTATTGGGCTTTTGCCCGGGGAAATATTTAGGGCTTGTTTGTCCAACACTTATTTTGTATTTTTGTCTCATTTACCTCTTAAAAGACCTCTCAAACACAAATCTCAATGCTATCCAAACAAATTTTTAATTTACCTTTTAAAAAATATTCAAAAAATTATTGTTACACAATTTTCATCCACTACCACCGGACCACCTCCACCACCACCTGCCGCCACCGGACCGCCCGGCGCCGCCGCTGGACCACTGTCGGTCGGCGACCGGCCGGCCGAATTCTGGCCCTTTTGAAAAATATTCAAAAAATTATTTTCACACAATTTTCATCCACCACCACCGGACCACCTCCACTACCACCTGCCGCCACCGGACCTCCCGGCGCCGCCGCTGGACCACTGCTGGTCGGCGGCGGCAGCGGTGGAGGTGGTCCGGTGGTGGTCTAAAAATATTATTAGTTTATTTAAAATATCACCCAAACAAATTTTTAAATTTTATCTCAAACCACATTTTAAATCACATCTCAAACCTAAATAAAAAACCAAAACAAAAACTAAAACAAAATGTTGGCCAAACAAGCCCCTAGTATTTTCTTAAACTTTCAAAGTCCAAACATGCAATATATATATATATATATATATGTATATATATTTGTTTGTTTGTATATTACACACCCAATGTTCAAAATCATTGCTCCGACTAATCCGGACACCTGCTCTAGTTGCTATTGGATGTGTATTATTATTATTATTATTATTATTATTATTATTATTATTATTATTATTTATTTATTTATTTTATGCGACCAAAATTTTTTTTTGAAATATGAATCTCTGAGAGTCGCAACCGGACTTAGATAGATGAAAATTGGATGGTCTGAAGTTTGGTCTGCACTATGCTATGTTGTTCAGATACCGCAATTCACATTCAAACTCTATATACAAACAAGAAGTTTTGAAATTGAAACTAACCTTTAAAATGGAGTTGACCAGCTTCCATGAGTTTAGTCAGGCAAAAGTACACCCAAAGGCAGCAAGGGCTTATTGTTTCGAAAAAGATCAATGGAATGCCGAGTTCCTCCGTGATATCAAGTGCATAGTAGTAGAATCCCTCTGCTATCACGCAAGTGATGGGTGTTTTACAACCTTGTAGAAATTCCCTTAAGAAAGGCTGCGCCACAGTTTGCAAGGAATCCATAATCTCCGCGAACTTTTCGACGTTCCGAGGATCGTCTTCTGGCAGGCCATCCTCAATGGTTTCCAACTGGAGCAGTCCATGATATCCGGCACATCGAGTTTGAATGTCGGTGCACCGCAGAAGACGTTTGTGGTTGTATTTTGTGATGAGGAATGTTACGCGAATCCCAGCCAAGCACAAAAGTTCTGCCAGCTGCATCATGCTGTTCACTGGGCTTTGAATAGGTAATGGAAAGATGAGTACGTGAGGAAGGAGCTGATGCTGATCCATTAATTCTCCAGGGACTGAAACCTTGCTCTCTTTTGTTTTCTTTTTGAGATATTTGGTTGTGGATGAGTTTTGTATTTTTATTTTTTTTTGGGATTCCAGGACAGCCTAGGCGTTCCTGCATCCAGTCCATTCATAATTAGATGTACATCATCTTGGCCACCCCGGATTCATATAAAATAATCGGACAGCATTTACTGGAGGGCTAAACTAATGAATTTAATATAAGTTCACGCATCTAGAAATCGTAGTTTTAATTGAATAAATTGAGGGTGCCAGCTTCCTTGTCTTGTATCGTTGACTTCTTTAGGTAATTCTTGAGTGAGTTTGAGTTTGTAAGATGAAACTTGAGATGTCTACAAGCTGGTTTCTGTGTACTTTTTCGGCCCATGCCCTGAGGTTACTTCTACACAAAAACAAGATTCTAATGCTAAAAGTTATTGTAGTGACCAGTCATGCAGTATAAATGATTGGTGTTGAACCTCGCGTTTTTCCCACCCAGGCCCTTGATGAATTCATGTTTAGATAGTGAAATAGTTTTTATAATAAGAAGCCTCAGTACATAATATTCTAAGTTAGCGTCAGATCTAGTGAAAAGAATTTAAATTAATTAAATTGATTTCATTAGTTTTGGAAAATACTAGTTTTGATCAATTAACGTCATTGTAAATCCTCATGTAACAGTTTGACTTTTGAGGAAACTTCAGTGGCCTAGTGGTTAGGCTTTTCAAGACCTACTTAAGACACTTTTAAGTTCAAATCCCACTAATTGCAATGATCATGAACGTACGTACTAACAAGTGAACTCAGCAGGTTGCATAAAAGAGGAGTAAGAGTAACCATTCAAGCTTTACAACAAACATGAACATGTACATATATATAGAGGAATCCAAATTGGGACCTAAGTAGGGGAGAGTTGAGTTATAGATGATTTCATTTCGTAAGCTTTTTGGATCTAAGTAGCTAACCATAACAAAAGTCTGGGCTAACAGTTGGCCGAAGACAATTCACAGAAAATAAAAAAATAAGCTGCTGGTTTGTCGAAAAATAACGATCAATGCCTAATCTACTTATTGATTAGAAAAGAAAAAATAATTAAAATTACAGTAACACGTAAACAACACAAATTTTAAACAAATTACAAGAACCAAAATACACGCTCGAGAGTCAGAAAGTAATTTGAAACCGAGAATATGTAATCATCTCATTTTCTGTCTTTGTTTCCGTATGACTTAGCCATATTCATTACTACAAATTATAATGTGAATTATATTTTTGAAACCAATGAAGTACCATTCAATCAATACATCAAAAAATTATGTATTGGTAAGTATATATGTCTGGCTAGAATGGGGATTTAATCCATGTTATCGTGTACTTTTCGGCTTAAAGTCCCTTCAACTATTTGTGTATAAGTTAACATATGGCTAACAAAGGTGGCAAATAGTAGCATTTCATCAAACATTTCCAACATTCCCTTTTAAAAGAAGAAGAACAAAAAAAGGACTCCGTTGTTAGCCATATGTTACTCTTTTCATTTCCTGCTCAACTTTTTGATATCTTCAACGAGATGGCAAAAATCAGAGTGTGACGATCCTCCTTTCACAACCCTTTCCTTTGCCAATTTTGACCATTTCTCAGCTGAATCTTGATATTTCTTATTTTCCATGAGTTCCTTAATTCGTTTCTCCACTATATTTTGCTCACAAGTGTCTTTCATGGGGACTCCTCCATTCCAATTATGCTTTCCAGGGTTGAGTTCCATCCACTGTGGGTTAGAAATCCACCAATTGCTGGATGGGCTAGGACTTCCTCTTGTGGACACCAGCTCACAATCAGGCCTAAATCATTGGTTTTGTCGTTTAGGCCCTTTAAGAACCCATCATTTTGTTCCTTGATTGAGCCTGGCCTGATCAGCCAAAGAAATCTATACCCACTCTTCATTACGCCATGCCAAAATTCTAACAACTCTTCATTTGATAAGTTGAAGAGGCTTCCAAAGCTTATGTAAATCACCGACTTCGATGGTTGTGAGTCGAGCCATTTCAGACAATTTCTATCTTCTACCCAGAAACTGTTGGATAGGTTTGGGTATTCTTGAGATTGTTGGCCTTGGAGTATTGCTTTCTTTAGATGAAGTTGGACTAGCCTAATCATGTACAAGTGGGGAACTTTTGAACGGAGATGAGAGGAAACTGGGCTTTCCAGCTCGGCAAATGAATTGAGGATGAGGCCCACTGCCCGGGGATAGGCCTGGATTGATTTGAACACTAGCCTCGCATTCCCGTCTAGGCTGTAATCTCGCCGGCAAAAGTCTGGGAGATCTCGAAACCGGAGGACACCTTCCATTCCCGGAATGCTTGTCACCAGCGTGTCCAGGTCATCCCCTAACATCGCGAAGAGTAACAAGATTCAATGGGGGCATTCATTTAATATTCCTGATACACGCAGTCACACTAGTACACATTTGCATGATCTTTAACTACATTCTTAATGCACTTTTAATCATGAAGAAAATTGTTGAGAAATGGGCCCTGAGACAGCCTAAAGGTCACTTACCCTATAAAATCAATGCTGAGATCATGTAACCTGTATTCGAGGATCATGTAACCTGTTAGAATTTAGAAACTATGCAAGTTGCAACACCTCAAATCAATTATGAAGAGAGCATATTTGAAGTATGCACTTTGCAGTAGTTTTTTTGTCAGAGGCGCTAGGTCTCCTCTATGGGGATGTACACATTTTTTTTTTTTTAATGATGCCTGACCAGCTGACCATTATTGATGTAATTATATACAGATAGTGAAGCTACCATACATGCTCCCCAACACAGAAAAAAATAAATAAATTTGTGAAACTGTAAACTATTAAGAACCAAGAAATTGAATTAAGGGAAGTTTGAGAAATGGAACTAACCTTTGAAAGGGAGTTGGCCATCTTCCATGAGTTTAGTAAGGCAAAAGTACACCCAAAGGCAGCAAGGGCTTATCGTTTCGAAAAAGATGAGCGGAATGCCGAGTTCCCCTGTGATGTCAAGTGCATAGTAGTAAAACCCCTCGGCTATTACGCAGGTGATCGGTGTGTTACGGCTCATGTTTTCTTGCAGTAATTCCCTTAAGAAAGGCTGCCCAACAGTTTGCAAGGAATCTATAATCTCCGCAAACTTTTCGACATTCCGAGGATCGTCTTCTGGCAGGCCATCCTCAATAGTTTCCAAATGGAGCTGTCCATGATATTCGGCAAGACGGGTTTGAATATCGGTGCAGTGTAGAAGACGTTTGTGGTTGTATTTTGTGATGAGGAATGTTACCTGCAGCCCGGCCAAGCACAAAAGTTCAGCCAGCTTCATCATGCTGTTCACTGGGCTTTGAATAGGTAATGGGAAAATGAGTACGCGAGGAAGGAGCTTATGATCCATTAATTCTCCAAGGGACTAAAACCTTGCTCTCAATTGTTTTCTTTTGAGATATTTGGTTGTTGATGAGTTTTATATGTTTTTTTGGCATTTGAGGCTGACTAGGCGTTCCTGCATCCAGTCCATTTATAATAAGATGCACAACATCTTGGCCGCCTGGATTCATATATAATAATCGGAGAGACCGATTCAGCATTTGTTGGACTAAATTAACGAAAATAGTAAGTTCATTTAGAAGGGTAGTTAAGTTGAAATTATTGAGGGTGCAGCTTCCTCATCTTGCATCGTTGACTTCTTCAGGTAATTCTTGAGTGACTATTGAGGTAATTCTTCAGCTTCATGTATCTTTCGTATCTAATCCAGTCTTCCAAACTTCAGAGACAAACCTACCGTTCATTGTTTGATCACCAAGATATGGCCAACATATCATTGGCACACCCGCAACAAGGCTTTCCAGAATCGAGTTCCACCCTCCACGGTTCAAAAATCCCCCAACAGCAAGGTGATTTAAGACTTCCTGTTGCGGCGGCCATCCTACAATATAACCCCTTCCTTTTGTCACATCCTCTAATTCAGAGAGAACTTGATTCTGCACCTCGTTCCCTTTTATGCAATCAGGCCTAATGACCCACAAGAACTTCGTCCCGCTGTTTAATAAACCGTGCCAAATTTCTTGCAGTTGCTCTCTAGTCAATACGGCTAGGCTTCCAAAACTTACATAAATTACTGAGTTTAATGGTTGTGCATCAAGCCAGGCTAAGCAACTCCGGTCTTCTTCCCAGAAGCTAGCTCAAAACCCCGAGGTTTTGGTATGTTCGGCTCCAATGCGCGTCTTGAGAAGGTAATGATTAGGGCCAATTGTGTACACTTTTGGTATATGCTTATAGTACTGGTTCTTCTAAATCTTCGAAAGTGTTTAATATCACCCCTTTGGCTCGAATCATCTGTTTTGTCTCTCGAATCATCATCTGAAAAGATGCCTGATTTACATCATTTACTCAGAAAAAATGTGGAAGATCCCTTTTCCTCAAGAGGCCTTCCATTCCAGGCAAGTTTTCGATCAAAGTGTCCATGTCCTCCCCTGTTACTCGTTAAACATGTACTTCCTCAGCTGCAGAAATTCGTTTTGCACCGTGTGAGCACAAGCCTCTAACGTTGACAGTCCAAAATTCCATAAATTTTCTCTCTTCCGATTCTGAAATCCATGGATGCGTATATGGATTAAACAATGAAAAGGTTTGATTTTTTCACAGAATCAGATTTAATTTTAAGAAAGAAAATTTGGAGAATAATTTGAAACAAAAAATCGTCATCTGCTCCGTATAACGTCGTCGAATTGTCTTGCTTGCTCCGGCGAAGAGACAACGAATCGGTAAAATCCTTCCGGCTTTAAATTAGCTTTGGAAACAATTCCCAACGTGTTACCATCGATCAATTTTCCACCGAGTACCAGCGCCGTCGACCTCATACGGCTGCTGCCATCCTCCTCGTCTTGGATACTGCCGGAAACTTCCATTTACTTCCAATCCTTATAGGAAGCCGAGAAACTAATGCTACTTAAATTTTTGGGGTAAAATTGGAAGTTTATAGGCTAATAATGAATTGTACCTTGTTGTGTTGACTAAATAAAAAAAAATGTACATTTTGAAACTAGACTATTTTTGTGGGGCGGAGAGAGTAGTATTATGCCAAAAAAAAAAAAAATGTTATGCCTTAAACTTCAAAGTAAATTCTGCTACTCAAATTTAACCAATTTTACCTTTGAAGGGGAGCTGCTTTAGCTTCAATGAGTTCAGGAATGCAAAAAGTGGCCCAAAATGAACACGCAGAAACAGTCGGGAAAAAAATGATGTCTATTCCATTATCTTCAGCAAAATCAATAGCAAAACTCATACAAACTCCGTCAGCTATGATGCAAGGCCTCCGAGTGGGAGAAGAAAAGAAATCCTTCTCAGCCATCATTTTCTTGAATAATGGGGCAGCGACATTTTTTATGGCTGGCACGACATCTCCAAATGCCTCACCTGATCTGGGATGATCATCAGGAAGACCATCCGGAATTGTTTGGAAACGGAAACCGGGATAGCCAGCGAAACGGGATACTACATTGGAGTTGTTCAGGAGGCGAGCGTGACTAAACTCGGAAACAACAAAAGTGATGTGTAAACCGGCTAGACAAAGAAGCTCCGCCAGCCTAAGCATGGTGTTTTACATGGCCCTGAACCGGCAACGGAAATATGAGTACATGGGGTGCCAAATTTGCAGCTTGGGAATCCATTTGTGGCTCTCTTTTTTCGAATTTCCAGGTTCGAATTATTTATGTTTTGTTTCTGGTATAAATCATTAGAGAGGGTCGGGACTCAGCTTACTCGTAGCCATTCCTTTTTGTCACTTTTAGTGGTGGAGCAATCTCGTCGTCTTGCAAATGCACTTTTAGCCGTGGAGCCGTGGCGCAGGTGCTTTAGTGGTGCAATGTACAGTTTATGCACTCATAACTACTTAATTTCAGAAACTGAGACTAAATTGTAATTGGGGAAAGAATGATTTAAAATTCAAAATGAAAATTGTAGTATTTTCTTACTGATTGGATGCACAAATAAGTACCACTCAAGCTCTACAATAAACATGAATATGTAATTGGGACATGGGCGGCCTAGTTGTGAGTTATCGATAATGCCATTTTTAAGAAGTTTGGATCCAGCCATAACAGAAGGTCAAGTAATTGTGCTAACAGCAGGCGAAAGACAATACACAGGAAAAAAAAAAAAAAAAAAACTGGTGGTCTCAGAAGAAAAACAATCAGAAGTGGTATTTTATTAATCAATCAATATGCATAATCTGATTATTGATAAAAAAAAATTAAAAAAAAAAAGGTTGATGGGGTGTCAAGCCAACAAACAATTTAACTTATTTCCAAACTACTGTAGTACAAGAAAGTAAGGTTGTCTCCTCAGGGAATGGTGAATTTCTCTCTTTTAAATCAAGTAACAAATGAGGGGTTTTGAGTTGTTGAAATAAATTGCAAACAATACAAATTGCAAACAATAGCTAAAATAATGCTAACAAATAATGAGAAAATACCTGGCTGAAGGGTTTGTATATCCACTTTGATTTAAACAGTTGATCATAGATGCAATGATATTATCATTAACTTATGAGTAGATTAGTTTTCATTGTTGGAACCTCCAAACAATTCAATCTTTCATTTAGTTCAATGATTAAGAAACCTTCATTAATCATATACTAGTCGAAAACTAATCTTGGAACCTCCAAAGATTTAGAAAACTACTACATTAAACACATAGACCCAATCCCAATTCCTATAAAACAAACCTTGTTTTATATTAAACCGGATTACTTGTTCTTAGAACATAAATAATTACTTACCAAGTAATTAAATTATATTATACCCTATTTAAACAACAAACCTTGTTGTTTTATTGGTTTTAGATTATTAAGAAGTACCGAATGCTACCAGCTATTCATGAATCCACAATAATCATATCAATCATGCAATAGAACAAGCAAATAATCACAAGAAATTGAGAGAGAAACAACATTTAAATCTCACAACTATTCAAACCAAGACTTCAATACCCTTCAATCAGATGAATGAATTTAGCTACTCATAATGAAAACTGAATCACAAAAAAAATTCATTGAACAATATTACCGATTGATGTCTATGAACTCGGAAGACTCCAAAAATGAAGAAAGTGCCCTTGAAAGATTCTTAAAAGTGGAAAACTACGTCTATTTCTTTATTCTACTACCTACTACCCTTTCAAAATGAAAAGCAAAATCTATTTATAATCAGAAAATATGTCAGCCGCAGCAGCCTTTCAGAAATCCGCAGCAGCAAATTAAATTTTCCAATATTTGCATATTGGTCCCTTAAGTTTGACAAAATTACATTTTGACCCTAAAACTTTTTGAATTTATTATTTTAGTCCCTATTTCGATTTGGCCAAACCTGAATGCAGCCTCAATGCTGGAATTTCTTCTCTAAAGCTCAATTTTGGACTGAGATTCGTGTGCCCACACGAAAATGTGATATCATTGCTCCTTCTTGTGCTTCCTTGTCAAAATGCTTAAAAAATGTATGTTTATGAAACATTTTGCTCCATCTCATCTCTAAGGACTCCTAGAAACCAAAAACATCAAAATACATAATATAAGTGCACAATCTAATCCAAAATGCTATACAAATACCCATAAATAATATGAAACTTCAAGACCTATCAAAGGTTATGGTAAAGACAAACAATACAAGCTTTAAAGAAATACAAGACCCAAAATACACGCTTGAGAGTCGGAAATTAATAAGAAACGGAGAATCATGGTCTCATTTAGCCAGAAATTTCAACTTCAATCTTTTTACTTCCTTGTTGCTCCTTCTTGGGAACGGTCACGGTGAGAACTCCGTTTTCCATACTAGCTGTAATGGCATCCATATTGGCATCCATCGGGAGCCTGAATTTACGCAAAAACTTGCCATCGGGCCTCTCTGATCGATGATATTTGCCATTCTCCTCTGTTTCTCTGTTCCTCTCGCCGCTTAGCTTCAGGACTCTGCCTTCTTCAGCTTCAACTTTTACTTCTTCTTTCTTTAATCCCGGAAGATCAGCCATCAAAACATAAGCCTCTGGAGTCTCTCTCCAGTCAACATCTACCCGAACGAATTCCGGCGTTTTCCCGCCGGATGAATTCTTTGCGGCGGAGGAAGGGAAGCTTCTAGAAGGATATCCCCAATTCCCCCAAGAACAGGGTTCACAAGTATTGTTTCTTGAGCCGCCGGAGATGCTTGAAATAACATACATCTTTTTTAGCTTTCTGCTTTCTAGTTTGTTTCTGAATAGACTAGTTGTGGAATTTTTAAGATATTTGAATTGAAGGTGAAGGTTACGGGGATGGTAAAACCAGCGCTCTTTTATAGTGGTAAGAAGACAATTCTGGCGGATTCCAGGTTTCCACAGAAGCAAGTTATTAGTAGTAATACATTTGACGTAATCAATGAAGTCTTGCCTTCCTGCCTGCCTTGGGGAAGAAGAAGGGAGGAGAGGAGAGGAGAGAGAACTTCACGACCGCCATGTCGGACACCTTCTAGAAACTTCTCAGTGATCAGATCCAATATCAAGTTTTCGCTCCATCTTTGGAATTGTTTAATTGTTCTCAACAACAGGGAAGAAACTTCATATTTTTGCTGTTTAGAATAAAATTTCAGGCATCAATCTTTAACCATAAAACCAACCCAAACGAGAGCTCCTGTTTGAATGTGCTGCTGCGATGAATAGAGAGTTCAGAGTACGTAGAGACCAAATGGAGAGTCTACTAATGCGAAATTCGTTACATTACTTGCTTTACTCAAACTCAATAGCTTGTCGGAACAAAAGAAATAATGATCGCATTCATTCGCTGACATAACAGAGCGTCAGTGTCAAAATCTATAAATTAAATCCCGTTATCTTGCACATTAAAAGTTGGTGATTGCCTGATTGGAGCTTCCTGAGGAAAAATTAATAGGAAAGCCGTATGTTTTTGTCCTAAATTGTGTAACGGTTCTTTTGTTACGTGAATTTGTTCGTACTTGTGGTCTTCTCCTCCGGGGAACACCTCTCTATCTATTAAAAATAAAATAAAAAACATTTAACTTTGGGCGGTAAGTACCATATAAGTTCATAATTTACTTCATTGTTCTGGTACTTGAAAAAATAAACAAACAACAAGAATGATCTTATATTTGATGATTCCATTAATAAGCAAAATAGGGAACATAACTAACTTTCATAAAAATCAGACAGCCGTGGATCTGATGAAATCAACAAGATCCTCAAAATCATTATACGAGGAACCACCTTCACTAACAGCCTTCTTAGCCAAATTTCTCATGCGATCAATCCTTGGCAAGAATTCTTCCCTCCTCACATCCATTAGGTCCCTTACCATCTTCTCAACAATCAATCTGTCACAAGTATCCTTCATGTCCAATCCAATCTTCCAAACTTCACTCACAAATCGACTGTTTATGAATTGGTCAGCAAAGTACGGCCAACACAGCATAGGCACACCGGCAACAATGCTTTCCAAAGTCGAATTCCATCCGCTGTGAGTCAAAAATCCGCCAACAGCAGGGTGATTTAGAACCTCCTGTTGCGGTGCCCACCCCACCATATAACCCTTTTCTCTTGTTCCTGCTTCCAATTCAGCTGGAATTTCACTCTTGCCATCTTTCCCCATGATTGAATCAGGCCTAATGACCCATAAGAACCGCTGCCCGCTGTTCACTAACCCGTACCACAATTCCAGTAACTGATCTCTTGTCACAACTGTTATGCTTCCGAAACTTACATAAATGACTGATTTTTCAGGCTGGGAGTCAAGCCAGACTAAGCATTTGCGGTCTTCTTCCCAGAAGCTAGCTGAAGCACCTGAGGTGGTTGTTTCTGTATGTTTGGCTTCCATACGCGTCTGGAGATGGTAGTGATTGGGTCCAATTGCGTACAGCCTCGGACAATGTTTGCGAATTTGAGATAAAACAGGTCCTTCTAAGTCCTCGAAGGTGTTTAAAATGAGCCCGTGGGCTCGCGTAGTTTGCAGCGTCTCTCGTTTAAGTATTTGGTGAGTTATGTCGTTCAGATCATTGATACGGCAATACCCTGGAAGATCTCGCCTCCTTAGAAAATCTTCCATTGCTGGAACGCTTTTAACTGGTAGATCCATCCCCTCCCCTGTAATTCTTATACGAAATTATCAAAGGGATAAGTATATATTGCCAGAATAGAGTGTAATACTACATTAACAAATATACCCAGGATATTCCCAACTCAGGTTGGGTTCTGGAGGAGGGTAAGGAGTCTAATACTAACTACATCGGTAACAAAAAAAATTGCAGAATCTAATAAACATACCTTTGATTGGAAGTTCTCCAGCTTCAGTTAGTTCCGTCATACGAAAACAGGCCCAGAATGAGGCGGAACTTGTTGTTCGAAAGTAGAGAATGGAAATCCCATTCTCAATAGCAAAATCAATAGCGAAATTCATAACTCCATCAGCTATGATGCAACTAACCGGCCTCTGGCTGGCAGAAGCAAAGAAATTAGTCTCAGTCATCATCTTCTTGAACAACGGGGCGGTGACCCGTAATAAGGCCGGAAGGATGTCAACGAACCCCTCGCCCGCCCTAGGGTGGTCATCAGGGAGGCCGTCGGACACGGTTTGGAATCGGAAACCGGGATACTTGGCGAAACGAGATGCTACTGTGGAGTGCTTGAGGAGGCGATTGTGGTTAAACTCGGAAATAAGGAAAGTTACATCTAGGCCGGATAGACAAAGAAGTTCTGCCAGCCTGAGCATGGTGTTGACATGGCCCTGAATTGGTACCGGAAATATCAGGACATGAGGTGCCAAGTTTACTCCGTCGGAATCCATTTTTTTTTTTTTTTGCCGATGATCAAAAATAATTTTAATTGCTTGAGGTTGAGGGGAGAAGAAAAGCTTTAGTTAGAGAAAAACCAAGTCAACTATATGATTCAGATCATTTTCGCGATCGACGGTCCAAAACAAACAGGGGAAGTTGATTAGGACCGTTTTGAGGAATCCTCGGTGAATGCCATCGCCCCACATGTTATTTTAGATTATTTGGAAGTTCTGTGGCAACCATGTTGACGGGCTAACAATCCTAATTAATTCAGGTGGGACCATATCACATCAAAATTTAATGCAATTGTTTATTTTCTTTTTAGTACGATGCGCACATGAAGGGAATCTCTAAAAAAAGTCAACATCAGGCTGAATAAGCCTTAATTTGTCTGGTTTTTGGACTTATCATCACTGATGATGGCATAATACTGGTAATTTTTATTTTTGAAGGAGGCCTAATACTGGTATTGTTAAGACTTATCATCACTGAATAGTTACCAATTGTTCCAGTTTCACTTGTTAACATCATAATTTCTTTTATCATAAATTCACCCTCAGAAATCTTAAAAGCCGGCTAATTTGAATTGTTTTTCCCGATATTCGACTTGCAAGATGACAAAAACGAAAAGAAATTCAAGAGGGCGTAAATATGTCCTGTGATGGCGAGTTGCACTATACCAATTATATCACACCAGCCGAACTATAAAGCTACCAACTTTGATTTTGATTCTTGCCAATAAGTAAGCTCTTACTACGTAATATGCAGACAAGTGCAGAGGCTAGTAAGCTCTTACTAAACACCGAGGAGAGTTTCGTGGTTGTTATTCCATTCGAGTTGAACAAGTACAGAGTTTCGGAGACATGGACAAGGTTGTTTACTACTTCCTCTGTCCCGAATTGGTTGTTAAGATAACAACTTATTTCTATCTACTCAAATGTGGTTTCAGAAATTTTGGATTTGATGCTTATAACAAAAAAAATACTAGGCCAAATATTTCATTGTCATGAAGAAAGAATTCTGGTTTATTTTCAAAGTGAGAAATCAAATGCCATAATATTGCCCTGCTTCTTGTTCCATTCACTTTCCAATTTCAAGATACTGTTGATGTTATAAACTCAACAAGGCCGTCCAAATGATGGTATGATGATCCGCCTTCACTTACAGCTTTCTTAGCCAATCTAGCCATCTCATCCGCCCTTTTCAGGAACTCATCCTTCCTGACCACCATCAAATCCCTAACCATATTCTCAATGGTTACTCTATCACATGTATCTTTCATGTCTAATCCAATCTTCCAAATTTCGCTAACAAACCTACTATTTATCATCTGGTCAGCAAAGTAAGGCCAACAAATCATAGGCACACCTGTGACTATACTCTCCAATGTCGAGTTCCATCCGCTATGAGTCAAAAATCCACCAATGGCTCTGTGATTCAGTACCTCCTCCTGAGGAGCCCAGCCAACCATGTAACCTCTTGCCTTGGTGCCCTCTTCGAGCTCGGCTGGGATCCGATCCTCGCCGTCCTTTCCTTTAATTGAATCAGGCCTCATGACCCACAAGAACTTCTGTCCACTATTAACCAAACCATACCAGAATTCCAGGAGTTGCTCCCTTGTGACAACCGTGATGCTTCCAAAGCTTACGTAGATGACTGATTTCGGAGGCTGGGAGTCAAGCCAGGCCACACAGCTGCGGTCTTCTTCCCAGAAACTACCTGAAGAAATTGTGGTCTTGGTATTTCGGGCTTCCAGTCTAGCTGCCAGGTGAGAATGGCTGGGTCCAATGGTGAAGAGTTTTGGTATGTATCTTCGAACCTGAGATAATATTGGACCTTCCAAGTCTTCAAAAGTGTTCAATATGGCAGCTTGGGCTCTGGGGGTTTGTCTAGTCTCGCTTTTCAAAACCTGAAGCTTTGACTCATTGATATCGTTGACACGGCAAAAACCTGGAAGATCTCGACGCCTTAGAAATCCTTCCGCTCCTGGAACGCTTTTTACCAGTAGATCCATTCCTTCCCCTGAATCATCACATTGTCAATTCCTGTTTTTTTTTTCTTTAAAAAGGAAAAAAAAATATGGATGTAATTTGTTTTTGCACTAATAGAATTTCACCTTTGACCGGAATGTCTCCTGCTTCAATTAGTTCAGGAATACAAAAGCAAGCCCAGAAGGAGCAAGCAGCAACGGTACGAAAATAAATCAGGGAAATTCCTTTCTCTTCAGCAAAGTCTCCAACGAAACTCAGCACTCCATCAGCAATCATGCAGGAAACAGGCCTTCTGGTGGCAGAGGCGAAGCAATTCTTCTCAATCATCATCTGTTTGAACAGCGGCCCTGTGACGTTCTTCGTGCCTGAAAGAATATCCATTACGCGCTCACCCGCGCGGGGATGGTCGTCGGGAAGGCCGTCGGAAATGTTCTGGAACCGAAATCCGGGATAAATACCGAAACGGGATGCAACGGTTGTATGCTTGAGGAGGCGGTCATGGCTGAACTCCGAAACTATGAAAGTGATGTCTAGTTGAGCAAGACAGAGGAGCTCTGCTAGCCTAAGCATGGAGTTGACATGGCCCTGAATTGGCAAGGGGAAAATGAGAACATGTGGCGGTAAATTTTGATCTTCAGAACCCATAGTCATCAACTGGGTGTTATTTTTTCTTGTTGTTGTTGTTGTTGTTGAAACCAAATTGAGTTTTAGTTTGCCACTTATAGAAAAAAGAGTATAAGATCACAATGATTGGTCATTGACCTTTTTGCTCGTTTTAAAGGTTTCGTCTGTGGTTGGAAATGCATATTGGGAGAGGGCTTAAATTATTATTGCGCTCGCATTTCTCGATTGATTTTTATTATTTATTTATTTATTCTTTTTTTAAGAAAATTTTTTTTATCGATTGATGGGTTGTTGAGGTGACCCCATTTTGCAGTCCCGTGATCCACGAGGATCATTTCCTATCAAATTTTTGGGGGACCATGAGAACAACTATTCCAAAATCATCATATTGTTCAAATGATTTTACCATTATTTCCAGTTCAGTTTTATAGTCTGAGAAAAGAAGATTGAGATGAGGAAAGGCTTGCAAAGAAAACAGAGCCGGTCTAAGAGAAATACAATCAGAAGTGTCTTATTGATGGATGCTGAATCTGATGACCGATACAAAGTTCAAAAAAAGGAAAAAAAAAAAAAAAAGATTACAAGAACCAGGAAAATCGCTGCAAGAATTTAAGAAATTATTATTACAACAACCAAAAGTATACTAACTAATAATATCTGCCGTCAAACATTCACGAGAATCTGAAATTTGAAAACCGAGAATCAGCATCTCATTATTGTATTTTCCTCGCGGTATGGGCTTAACCAGAAATCTCAACTTGTATTCGCTGAGGTTTCACTTGCTCTCTCTTGGGAACGGTAACGGTGAGAACACCGTTTTCCATACTGGCTTTGATTGCATCCATATTCGCATCCTCCGGGAGCCTGAATTTACGCTGGAATTTGCCTTTGCTCCTCTCCGACAGATGATATTTGTCATTCTCTTCCTCTGCTTCTCTGATTCTCTCGCCGCTAATCTTCAGGACTCGGCCTTCTTTAACCTCAACCTTCACTTCTTCTTTCTTTAATCCCGGAAGATCAGCCATCAAAACACAAGCCTCCGGAGACTCTTTCCAGTCAACTTCTACCCGAACGAATTCCGGTGTTTTCTCGCCGGATGAATTCGTCGCAACATAAACATTGCCGGAGAAAGGGAAGCTTTTAGAAGGATATCCCCAATTGCCCCAACAACAGGGATCATAAGTGTTGCTTCTTGAGCCACTGGAGGTGCTTGAAATAACATACATCTTTGGTACCTTTCTGGTTTCTCTAGTTTCGGAATGTCTAACTTGTGGTATTAAGATATTTGCAAGTGAGGACTATGGTGGTGATTACCAGCGCTCTTTTATAGTGGTAAGAAGACAATTCTGGCGGATTCCAGGTTTCCACAGAAGCAAGTTATTAGTAGTAATACATTTGACATAATCAATGAAGTCTTGCCTTCCTGCCTGCCTTGGGGAAGAAGAAGGGAGGAGACCTTCCTAACAGCCGTGTCGGAAACTTCTAGAAACTTCTTAGTGATCGCATTAAACATCAATTTTTGCTGCATAATGAAATTCTTCTCCACACCAAAAGCGAAACTTCAATCTAAATCCTCTTTAATGTTGACTTTTGTGCTTTTTTTTTTTAAAAAAAAAGAAAGAATTTCAGGCATCAATTTGCAATCATAAAAGAATGAATAGGTACTCTTGTGGAACCATTTTTCAACAGTGGGGAGGAAAAAAGAAAGACCAAATGGAATATCTCCTTTCCACAAAAATTTGTTACATCACTTGGTTGAGGTTTTCCTGTTAAGCCTCATAACTATCATTCGGTAGCATTTCTTCATTTATCTTTTATGTTTTTTTGTTTTGTTTAATCTGGCCGTTAACAATATTAAATAATATAAGCCGCATTTATTCCAACCCATTATGTGTACGATTTGCAACGTTAAACGTCCGCTAATAATTGGGCTTTACTAGTCCATTAAAATTAAAAGTGGGCTTAATCCAAGATTTTCTGATCCAGTCAAGGATCCTTCTTGAAGAAAGTAGAACGTAAGCGAAGCTTGTCGACATTCATCGTAACTGATATGGATCCTCCCTTTCTCTGTTTTCCAAGGGTATCGTGTAAGCAGAGCAGCTTGCCAACACAGCTGACCTGGAGATCTGGATAACTTTCTCGACTCCCTTGATCATTCCTATTTAAGGATCTTGTCCCCCGGTTTCTCATCATCAGAAAAAAGTTCAGTCTCAGAGATTACAAAGCTCATCTTCAAAGTTATCTTTTTTAGCTTTTATTTGCAAATCAACAATGGCATTAATTCCCAGCGTGTTTGGTGGCCGACGAAGCAACGTTTTCGATCCTTTCTCTCTTGACATTTGGGACCCTTTTGAAGGATTCCCCTTCTCCGGCGCCCTATCAACGGATCGCAGCAGCGCCGCCAGGGATACCTCTGCTTTTGTGAACGCGAGAATGGACTGGAAGGAGACCCCGGAGGCCCATATCATCCAAGCTGATCTTCCAGGGCTCAAGAAGGAAGAAGTTAAAGTGGAGGTGGAAGAAGGAAGAGTCCTCAGAATCAGCGGAGAGAGGAAGAGGGAACAAGAGGAGAAAACCGACACATGGCATCGCATGGAGAGGAGCAGTGGCCAATTCGTGAGGGCCTTCAGGCTGCCGGAGAATGCTAAGATGGAGGAAATTAAGGCCAACATGGAGAATGGCGTGCTCTCTGTTGTAATCCCTAAGATGGAGGAGAAGAGGCCTGAAGTTAAGGCCATTGACATCTCTGGCGAGTAAACAGTCTTGTATGGTGATGTATTGGAAATAAGCACTGAAGCTAATGCAGCATCTATCTATCTATAGTGTATCGCGGCCTTACTAGTATCGTACTATCGTAGTAGTACAGTTCTGTAAATTCAACGTCTATATGTCGTCTTGAATCTTGTCAATTATGCCGGTTGCAGTTTTGTTACTTCACTGTGTAGCAAATGTTATGATGATGATGATGTTTTAGTTTTTTGTAAATTCAAATCGTGTTAATTTTGTTACTGCTTAAATCGTGTTGCCTACCTTAGTTCGAAACAGATCAGAACACACTGGGACAAACGAACCAACTTAATAGTGCATGATAAGATATCAAACAGCATCGATGCTTCATAGTGCGTTAAGAGTAACACTGTTAAACCAAGAACTCAGCTTTTTGGCTAATAAAACCGGATATGAATTAGATTAAGAAAGTTAAAAGATTCGATGTATCCTCTCCAATGACTGACAACCCCATGGCAAAAGAAGTCCAGAACAGGGTGGAGAAGACAGTACTAATAATACCAAATCAATATCAGTCCATTAGCATTCAAAGCTTAACATGGCCGAAGAAATCCCCAGCTTATAAGCTTTGCCAAGATGGACTTTTAAGATCGGAAAACTAAAAAGAATCAATTTAACTCCACCATATTTGACTTCAGACTTCGAAACACATCAAACAAGCGAACCTCATAAGCAACTATAAGACACAGGTTTTTGCAGCTTAAATTAGAGTCAGAAGAATTTTATGAAAGTATAATCTTTAGTGAAAACTGGAAAAGATGGATGAATGCAAGAATAGGCGAGTGAGGCACTGGCAGGCTATGAGCGGCGGGTATAAATATGGAGGAGGATTTTAGGGTTGAAGGTTTTTATGGGCCAAATTTATTATTAACGGGCCGAAGTTTTGCTTTCTGGGTTTTCGAGGTGAATGGGCTACCTGTATCACCATTATCCCCATAGAGTATGTAATACTTTTTTTTTTTATATCTATAATAATTATTAAAACAACAAACACTGAAGATACGTGTCAGCATTAGAATGAAAATTTTCCCTCTAAATATTTACAGATGTTTACAATACAAATTCGAAACAAGGAAAATGTGACGCGTGGCTTCTTCTTTGCTTAGAAAATTTGCATTCAGTTTATAAAAAAAAAAAAAACTTTCATGTTTATACTAGACAAATAAAATCAACCATAAAATCCGGGTTCCCCGATTTTCAATCCAGTAATCATCTCCTTAATTATAACAGAGGATAAAAATATCTCCTAATTATCTTTTCCATTAAGTTAATAGAATTAAATTTCAAAAAAGATTTATCACCAATTATTCTGCCTCTCTATTCACAAATATTATGGAAAAAAAACTTCCCAATCTCAAACAATTCAATCTTGATGTAGAAAATCAGTCACTCCAAAATTTCTTCTATTTTTTGTCCCGATCCGACCTCGACAATAGAACCCCTAATTTCCTACAATTTTATTACTAAAAATCAATACGGGCTAATCCTAAAAGTATCTCACATCAATCACAATATTTCAATTTCAAATGTAAAAGATCATATCGTCCGTAATCCTCGCTCTTTATGCGGTATTCTTCAGTCAGAAGCCCAGAAAAATAAAACAGATCCATCCGACCGCACCAGAGAAGATGAGAATGAGGAAGATGACTCCCACCCCCACGATTTCGTTCTCTCTTTCAACTCCAAGCTCCAAGGAAATAGCGCGGTGGAGGTTCACGCTGCTCCGCTAGACCGGTTGTAAAGAGAGGTAAATGCTTTTCTTATTGTTTTCCACAATTAATCACTATACTTTTGGTGAAACTGAATTATGATTTACTAGATCTGGACGAAGACCAAACACGCCATCTACTGTAACGCCGAAAACCCCCCACTGACATCGCATTAAGCTTGGGTTTTAAATCCGTTTCAGATTCGCTCGCATTCTCTGGTGCCTGGCTAGCTTGAACGAAGGTAAACTCTTTTTCTGTTTCCAATTCCGTAGATTACCGTCATTTTCAGATATGGCCAAATGAAAAAAATTCATTGAACAATTGTGGCCACCGGTGGCTGACCATATATCAATTAACAGCAGAATGGCAACCACACCGCAACGGGGTTCCAACAGCGACACCCATGAAAGAGAATAAAATGACAACGAGAGTTCAGCCATCATCAAGCCAATTGATGATATCCAAAGAGAAGAGGGGATAAAACATATAAAGCCTAGGCGAAGGCCTCATTCACAATCTCACGTAGGTACGGGTAAGCTTCTGATTTATTTTTATTTTTTCAAAATATTGCTTCTTTCAAGAGGAATCAGATGAAATTAGTCAGTATACTTGGATACCTATGCTTTGGGGTAAGAACTTGAGGTCGGTTTATAATTGTTGAGTTTAAAGCCCAATGTTGTATGAAGATTATATTAATTGCATTGATCGGATATCAATTGTTTTGTTGTTTTAATGGGTGTAGATACAATTTTATGTTCTTTCTCATGTGACAGCCATTCAATGAGATATAATTCTCAGTTCTTTTCCACCTTTTTGTTCGAAGTAATGGGGATTTATACTCGAGTTTGGGATGGGAAGTGCAATTCCTTTCGTAAGCTGTGAAGAATGGGATCTTATTTCGTTTTAAGGGATACTGATCACTATAATCCGTTATTTTGACCATCCAATAGATGAATTTGTTTCAATAAATCAGCTACAATTGGAAAAGTTGTTCAATTCAAAGATATTTTGGTTTGGTTATTTTCATTGTAATAGGGTCAGAAAAATGGTGAAGGAAACTGAATATATGATATTCTTGGAGTGAGCCCTTTTATCGGATGAAGAAATTTGAAAAGCTTATTACATCACGGTATAAGGATATTGTTAACTATGATCAAAGAGGTTTTTGATTTTGTGTTACGTGCATATAGGATTGAATTCAAAGAGGTTTTTCTATCTTTGTTGATAGGCAAGCGAAGTTTTTCTGGATAAAAAATCCAAATGATCTTTAAACTACTGAAAGGTTTGTCTTTCTATTTTGCAGTTGGAGTAAATTTTATGAAATGTCTTATTTATAGCTTTTCAAGAAATTCGTGGAAAATGATGTTGGAATTATGTTTCACTTACGTATATTCATTTTATGTCAAGTCCATTGGAAGCGAAAATATCTTGAATTTATGAAATTCTTCAACAGATTTTATTATGGTATCATAGAAGGTAAAATACAGTTTCCGTGCCCTTACTCCTTTTGAACTTCTTTGTTCACAGTTCTCTTATATGTTTATTTGGAGTAAGAGGTTATTTCAAGGAGATTGATATAGAATGGAAATGCCATGATATTCATATGGCCTAATGGAATGTTCATTGGTCTAGAACTTTTAATTTGTTGTTGCCTTTAAGCATAAAGCAAAATAACTCGAGGAGGTGGACCGTTTTGAAGAATCCATGGTGGGTTTAACATATAATACAGTTGCTCATTATATTTGGAATGGGATAGAAGCCTTATAATCCAGTAAACGACTTCAATTTGTTAATGATATGAGTGGGTCACTTTGCAATATCGTCGGTAACCTAATATCATGTTTCTTAAATGCTTAAATTATAGTTGAAATGGGACATGGTTATTTACTTCTTCAGATATCTTTACCTTTTGAGGTTTCTTTACTTTTTTTCTATATTAGGAGGGACAATCTTTCACATTTTAGAAGCTTGGATTCCAGTAGAAGCACATAGTAAGCTTTCCTGTTTTATGTGATATTACATATACTCAACCTATTTCTCAAGTGCTATTATCTAAATATTTCAAAGAAATTTTTTTTATCTATTTCATGACCATACTGGTGTCGAATTATTATGCGACTTTATTTTGTGCATTGGTGTACTATTAGGAGGTTAGTTCCCTCGGGTGGTGTAGGTTTCCTATTCTGATTGGAAACTGTTCAGAATATCACTCATTTTGAAAGTAAAATATGATGACAATTTTTTATAAATGTAATGTCAGATGCAATCTCTTCTCAATGTTCATTTGCAGTGTCTGTTTGAAACATTCATTATCATAATAATTTATAGGTTGATTTGTGAAATTATAATTTTCATTCTGGGTTGTTGCGGTTGTTATTGCATATTAGGTCAAATGATTAAGAACTAAATTTTTACGTTATTATTCATTGATCATTAATCGATTTTTTATTCTACTTTTCATCAACACATGAAAGACAGGCTTACTTATCACCCACAATGCTTTCTATGATGCATTGCTGAAGAAAGTGACTCCTAATGTACTGTAAGGTATGAACCAGTTTATAGAGTAACATGCTTGGTGCGTGAACTAGCTATACTCCACTTCGAACCTCAAGGAAACAAATCAACAATAATAACTAGAATCGTTTAGGATATGCAAAATTTTTTTGTCTACTGTGAAGAATTTGTGTTCATTTCATTACAATATGTGTACATTATTTTCTTTATTTACATATCAATTTCTTAAACAGCTTGGTTGGGGCTATCATCCAAACCACTTTATTAATATTATAATTGTTATGTGAAAATTATATATATCATTCTATTTTTTCTAATGACTTAAAGTACAAGCATCCAACGAGTAATGTTGTACCCCAGGGCTATACAATATGTGTTTGATTTTTAAGAAAATTCCACCTCTTAGGAGAAATTATAATTCTAAATTCCATGTCTAAACAAATCAATTTCGAGATGCCCGAATTAATCATCCATTCGTACAATATAAAATCAAAGTCAAAATTCATCAAATTTTCACCTTTTAGTAGAGGCTCAAATCTCAACATTATGTCATAGTATTTTCTTTTAGTTACACATTAATTTTTTATATGATAATTTTTATTACTTAACATTTATTTATATGTTGCCATCATTATAGCATTTGTATTAACAAATTAGGTAAATTCCCCATAATTTCAATTTGTAAAATAGAATGGAGAAATGGACCAATTTGTTTTATTGGTCCTCCATTGATTATTAAATGTT